GGGAATCGTTTACTTGTTTTCCATTTATGCTATTGCTTTTTGTGTTTTCCACTTTATTTAGTGAAAAATATATATATATTATTTTTTTTTAATTGAATAATTCCAGTTTTCTGCATTGTTTGTTCCCACACTGATACGTGTGATATGATATACGTGTTTTTGGTCAATAATCAAATTACCATTCTTATTTTTTATACAGATAATGGGATTTTCATCTGAAAGTGTAGCAGCATTCATAGCAGTACTTGGGATTCTTTCCATTATTGCACAGGTGAGTTAATTCTATGTAATTCACTGAGTAACTCTGGAGAGAGCTAAGCACTGTGGAGAACTTCCATAGTATTGTGGTTCCGGAAACATGAGTCACCTTCTTTTAGCTGTTTTTCTAAGCATCTAACAGTTTATTAACACTTCTACTTTAACTAACTTAGATGAATAAAACAGCTTGCCAAACAGGGTTTGGTTCATTAATATCCAAAGTGTTTTGTGTTGGGAAAACTAAATCCTCTTATGTATCAAATAAGGGGTGATAGTTTGTTTATATTACTTGCTAAATTATATATATATATTTATTTTTTTTTTGGTAGAGGCAGGACTCCTGACTACAAGGCAAATACTGCTTTTGAACTTAGCTTTTTTAATGCATTAATGTATTCGCATGTATTTAACATTTAGATTAACTTTTTTTCCCTTGTACCTTGTTCCTTGCTCTATCAGACAATAGTTTTGAGTTTACTTATGCGGTCCATTGGAAATAAAAACACCATCCTACTGGGTCTAGGATTTCAAATACTACAACTTGCGTGGTATGGCTTTGGATCAGAATCATGGTATGTAAATTCCATTTTAATATCTGAATGTGATACTTACAAACATGCACGTGTACATACATATGCTCCATATGCAGAATGCTGTCCCAGCTGAACAGTTCCTTTGAATCTTTATTTTCTGCAGGATGATGTGGGCAGCTGGAGCTGTCGCAGCCATGTCCAGTATTACTTTCCCAGCTGTAAGTGCACTGGTTTCACGAACTGCTGATGCTGACCAGCAAGGTAGGTGTTGTCCTAACCCTTTGAATTCTAGTCAAAGATCACTGTGAAGCTAAGTGAGTTATCCTTACTCGTGATAGCCTCTATACCTGAGCACAGGTCACAAAAAGTTAAAATCTACTTTAAAGCTGCCATATATGCATGACAAGTCCTTCTGGCCCAGAGGCAAGAACATTCAGACCCCAAACATAGTACAATATCTGTTTGTAGTACAATAGCTGTTTGTTTTCATTACTTTTGATGTTAGTTGGCTTTTGTACAGGTTGTATGCAGTGCTGCTGCATGAGACTAAGGATATTGTATATACTGATCTCTTAATATGCGTGGCATAGGAAGCATTACTCTGAGCCTATGGGGAGATAGGAAAAAATATATATACCATAAAGACAAGTTGTCTGCACCCTTTGTTTATTGCTACTCACAGTCCAACAGCAGTGAGAGAAGTTTTCCTTTTTGCATCAGCGTGAAAGTCTTACTGATGTGTTCATCATCTATTAAAATCATTTTTACATATATACATTTTATATATATATGTAGATAGATAACAGAATATCTTGTTTTCTCAGGTGTGGTTCAAGGGATGATAACAGGAATTCGAGGCTTGTGTAATGGTTTGGGACCAGCACTTTATGGTTTTATATTCTATATATTTCACGTTGAACTGAACGAACTCCCCATGCCTGAATCACCACCAGGAAGCAGTGTTGTCACACAATACCATTTACAACAGGTACTCTTCTTTTACTGACTGATTCCCGAAAAAAAAAGGAATTGGGAAGGGACTATGTCTCTGGTGGTTCCTGATTATAATGCTGAATTACATTGTCAGGTTAACTGTAAATTAAGCATGTAAAAATAGGTTCTTAAATCACTCTCACAGGCTTTGGCTTGAGACAAGGTACTATGGTTCAGTTTTTGTTCCTGTTAGCTGGATCTCTTAGTAGTTAGGCAACTGCCAGCCTTTCCAAAGACAAAGGAAAGATGAATTAATAACTACATAATCCCACTGTTTTCTTGTCTTACTGAGCAGGTCTCTGACATTGTATTTACCTCTCAGCTATCACGCATTTGGGTCGTGGTGTCTTTTTGCCTTCTAGCCAAGGCCTCCGTATTTTTTTTAGTTCCTAATAGATGATAAATTGTGGAGGAAATTCAGCAGGTGACTGTACTGGTTGCAGCAGGATATGGGACACTTCTCTTCAGCTGTTACATTGCAGTGCTATCTAGCTGTGCCTAACTGATTAAGTTACAAGCAAAAGCTTTTCCCATACCTTGTTTGCAGAATTTTATTCAGTATTTTTTTCGTTAATGTGTTTTTTGGAAGTCCACTCTACAAACAGCAGTGAAATTGAATGATAATGGAAATACTCATTGTTCAGACCGCAAACAAAACTTTTCTGCACTGCTTTCATACAGTTGTGCTGTGTGCATGTACCAGTCTGGAACTAAAAAAGCAAATGGTACCTTGAAGGGAAGGAGAGAAAAGAACCAAGTTCAAGGTTAGTAGGGAGAAGATGCTAGATTTGAATCTCCCCAGGTATCTCACAGGGAGCATGCTATACATAATGAAGTCCAGCCTTCAAGTACATAAAAGCACAGGAAGTTAGGCCTACTGCTGAAGAGCTGTTTGCTTCATAAAAGTTGCATTAGAAAAGGAAGTTAGCAAACATTAGTAAATAACATGCGCTTCCTCTCCTAAATCAGAAACTTCATCATCACAGATTTCTTAGACTCTGCGTGGAGACAAGTACTATATTGGCTAGCATAGCAAGAAAAAAAAATCAACTTTTAAAATTTGTATAATTAGCCTTTCTTAGTATGTTAACACATGTAAAGGTTTAATTATATTTTGTGATGTTAACTGTCTATTTCTTTCCTCAGAATTCTATAATTCCTGGACCCCCGTTCTTATTTGGAGCGTGCTCTGTGCTGTTGGCACTACTTGTTGCCTTGTTTATTCCTGAACACACCAACTTAAGTGTACGATCCAGCAACTGGAAGAAACACTGCGGCAGCCACAGCCATCCCCACAGCCCACAAGCTCCCGGTGAAGCTAAAGAACCATTATTGCAAGATACAAATGTATGACAAAAAAATCCAGGAAGACTTTTTAGCTTTTTTTTTTCATCTGCAGTTTGGGATACACATTCCACTTCCATCAAAAACAACTTCTTAAGGTAATCTTAAGAAATATCTTTTTGCATGACGTTCATAGGAATTTAAAAACAAAAACAACAAAAACTGGAAGTTTCTCCAAAGATGTTGCCATTAAATTAATAATATACTTTAAAAAAATATTAAGTACTCGTCTCTTGCCATGAAATACTGTTACTATTAAACTTTATGTTCTAGTTTGGAGACAAAAAGGAATATAGTTAAGGTATGAGCATGTGTCTTTCTGTTTCCTTAAGGTGGTGAGCTTTAATTCTATTCATGCTAAGTCTCAATGAGACATACTAGCATCCATGTGGACCCATTCATTTTAATGTTGTAAAATCGTGGGTCAGATGATTCAAAGCCTTAATGTAAATGTACTCAAGTAGGGGAAAGGTGAATTGGTATCATTTATTTTAAAAAGTCATATGGTGGATTTGTTTGTTTGTTTTTTAAGTTTGTACTAATATAAAAATCACATGAGCACGCTTGCTGAACAGTAAAAGTTATTTTTTATGTAAGTGCATTTACTCTTTCTATTTTTGAACAAACAGTAGTATCAAATACTTGTTTAAATATTAAGTGGGTGTTTTGAGCCTGCAGATTTTAATATTGGCTCTAAAACTCTGCTTTCATAAGTACCATTTATTATACCACTATATTTCTGATGTTTGCATAATCATAAAAGGACCTCAAAACTTGAATACACAGACTGAAATATAAGCTGATAGCCTTGAATATGTCAGTGTGCTATATAGTGGCCTTTGAGGACTGTCACAATAACCCTTTTACATTACAGAGCTAATGTTTTAGTCCTAAATTTTCAGGACCCCTTAGTACAGAAGAGAGCTTTATACAATTACTGATGTGAATTTCTCTAAAAGTGTATATTTTTGTGTCCAGTTGTATTATTTAAGTGTTCCTTTGTATAAATTTATGTATAAAGTATTGTATAGGTTTAAAATGTTTTCATCTTGTGGTTATTGCTTAATGCTTTTTTTACCTTTGAACATTCACCATGGTTGACCAAGAGCAGGAAGAAAAAATGTAAATATACTGTTAATAAAGTTGAATATTTTAATGAATTTTTAAATAATTGTTAATGTCTCTTGCACCCTTAGTCAAAGTTATGTAGTATGTATGTTACACTTCAGCAGGGTTTTCAAGAAGGCTGGAGTACATGTCCAGCACTACACCCTGTCAGATGAGCCTGCCCTGAGCAGGTAGGTGTTCTCCCTTACATTCAGCAGCACAAGCTGTCTGCAGCTGTCTGCTCTTTCCTTAGGGCTCTGGCAGAACAGTACTATTATAGATATGCTATACATAAACTTGTCAGTAACAAAGACAGCTTAACCTGTAGTGCACTGCAGTTCTGCTTCCTCTTGTGAAATTTATTGTTAATTTTCTCAAGCCCACTAAATTTTTATCTTATACTTGAACAAGACTGGGAGAAGTTACTGTTTTAGTTACCAGTCTGCTGTTGGATAGCAGCTTATACGTACTTCCAAGAGAAACAGATCAACTTCACATTCAGTTATACCTACTCACTCGAGCTAAACTAGCTTGACCTTGCACAAGCACAGACCTTAGAATGGGGTGGCTGTCATCTGCAGACGGTACGTGCATCATAGTGCTGGTCCAGCAACGCAGCATTGCAGTGGGGAAGTGAATAAGCTAGGAAGAAAACTCCAGAGAAAAGTGAATACAGTAGTACAGAACCATTCTGCCATTGTCCTCATTGTGGCATGTCAGTGTACTAGAAATATTAATATAGTAATCTTAAAAACCTCTGAAAAGTAATGTTTTATAAACGTTTAATATTTCCATTGAACTTACACATATCAAAAGTCAATATACATGATGCTGATTATAAACAAATATACACATTTTGCACTGCAAAACAAACCACTAAAATATACATCCCTCTGGCTGCAGTTAAATATTCAGGTGTGAACTATCTTTAAAAATAAGTATGTTTCCTGGCTTTGAAAAAAAAGTGTATTTTAGCTGTTACAAGTACTTGCGTGCCAGTTCTTTGAGACACCAAGTGAAAAATTGCACCAAATGAAGTTGTAACATGATTCTAGCATTTGAGCACAGGTAATAGAATTTGCTGAATAGACTCGAACTAAATTTGAATGTTAGAATATCCTCAGTTTCTGTACGGTGTTATAGTTGTAAAATACAATTAGTAAATACAAAATAGCTTTTAGATGTTGTGCTAATTTCAATAGTTCAGATAAATTGCTTTATAGCATTTTATGTGCAGTGGCCTGGGGGCTGTAGTACTGACAGAAAACAGACATTAGGGCAACACCAAATGACATTTTTAAACCATACTTTTATACCTTCAGTGGAATCATTCAGGATCTTAGTATTAGTTACAGTATTTGTAAACCTGTATGCAATTCAAATAAGCTGGTTCCCAAATTGATCAAGTTTTCAAAAATAAACCTGAAAGGGGAAAAAAGTCATGCTAACTTACAAGCTTGACCATTAGTAAAGTTAACAGCACAACCAGGGAAGTGCTGGAAATTATGTGCAACACCCTTTCTCTGAAAGAAGTAAAGAAAAGTCATATGGAAAACTGTTCCATATTGGGGAATACCAGAGAATACACATCATCTGTTACGGAGCCATACTTGTCAATTCCTATAACAAAGATGTCAGTGCACTTCTGTGCATTTTCAGGAAGACAAAGTTCTCAAATACCAGGAGAAAATTCAGCGCTTAATTCAGTGACTTACCTACAGTGGGTTACCATTAAGGCTGAGGCCCCTTAAAGCTTTATCTTTTCTGAATTGGCTTAACTATCCTAAAAAGTCATCCGTATACGTCAAGATATCTTTCTCAAAGAAAACAGATCCAGACGTCACCTTGTCATTTCATACTGATGCTTTACGAGTATGTTGTTAATACAGGACATCTCCAAATTCCCCAAACAGTTAAGAGAAAGTTCTTAAGCATCCTGTCTGCTATCCAGGAAAATAAGCTGAGGCTGTTGTTACTGCAGCTGTTGGTAATGGTTGGACTTTTGTTGGTAAGTAGGGTTTCAAGTACTCTGTAGAATAGCAGAAACAAGATAGTGTTCATAGAATCATAACTATTGTTACCCTTTAATTACATTTCAAATAAGGTCTTGTTTAATTCTTTCCATACACACATACCTGAGTTTAGTGTATTTTGACTAAGCCCTCGTAAAGGAATGCTGTCATCTTTTTTCTTGAAATACTTTGATTCCAGCCCCAAATTCTCACCACTAGAAATAAAAAAGCTAATTAAGGATTTTAAACAATTAACATTGACTGTGGACAGAAACACATTTGGGAAAATAAAAAAGAGACTTGAAGTGGAACTACTAAGTTCCTATGAATTTTATAATTCAAATATAAACAATGCCTGATTCAGTCAAATAAGAACGATCTACAACTCATTTTCAGGAAATGTTTTGCTCAGTTGCAGACACTCACAGAAGATAAATGGCTTTATAAAAGGAAAATGCAATAGATGATACTTACTTCTCCTTATTTGCTGGATGACTAGTTGTAGCAGTCACCTGTCTGAACATCTGAATGTTGATCCATTTTTGAAAGCTGCGTGTTAAATTGAATCTGCTGAAAAAAAGGAGTTGCAGGTTAAGTAAAGATGCTCCAGATATTCCAGATAGGACGGTCCACCCGCAAGTATTCAGAGTGGGCTTCTCAGGGATTAACATTTCTATGCTTTGAATAGCAGTTAAGTACAGCAAAGCAGCTAACAGTGTATTATCTTTGTTAAGCTGTACACTAGGTTATACTGCAAATATTTATGCATTTCGAAAAACATTCAAAACAAAGTTTTGATTTTTTATGCTGTTATAGTTTTTAGCCAAACAGAAAAGTCAAAATGCCTACCTTTGGTACTGGACATTGCGGATTGATATTTTTGTTACGTGCTTGTTCTGGAAACTTCTGGAAGGCATACAGGGGAGAAAAGGGATGATTGATTCCTAGGCTAGGAAAGGATGGTCGGTCAAGCTGTAAGAGAAAGAACACATCTGAAAGAAAGGAAGAATACATCTCTAAAGGAGAAAACAATTCTTCAAATATGTGTGCTGTAGAAATTTGAAATTCCAGGCTTAACAAGTAAACACAATTGCAAAGTTAACATTTCAATCATGTAATTCTTTTTAATAGGAAGGAGAAAAAAAAAAAAACACATTTCCAAGATTCACATTTGTAAGGAAAACCTGTAGCCTTTTAAAATTTGAAGGACATGAGCACTGTTCTTGCTTATACTAAAATAAAATCATAATAAGCTACATACTGTGTAATTGATTAATATATTACATGCATAAGTCAGGCATCTTCACATGAATATGCCCTTCCACTGCGTAAGAAACTCACTCATCAGCTGCAAGGTGCAAATAGAAGCCCCCACTTGGGGGCTAAAAAGGAGCAGGAACCACTAAGCTATGATTCTTAGCGATAGCCTGATAGGGCTTTTTACCGTGTACTTTCACATTTCTAAATCCCACTAATAAGTGTATCCAAAAAGGAATATACTTTACATTTTGATTCATACAAAGATCCTTAGAATGTTAGTTAACTTCACAGCACAAAAGTGGAGGGTGGGGAGGTGTTTGTTTTCATCCCACACTTAATTTTTTCAAAAACAGTTTTAATATTGTTTCATGTATTTTAATTAGTAGAGCTTAAAAACTACTCCCAAGGCCAGGGCATCAGCTAGCACCAAATTGGGTATTATGCTCTAACAACAACAGCTTATTGCTATTTATATTTGTATCTTACCATGCCATGAGGTGAAATTGCAGTCCTAGCACCACTATGCGTGCTGGTAGGAGTATCCATCTTCTTTGTCATCTGAACTTCATTCAGCTGTTTGTTTAACCATGTGATTACTGAAGTGAAAAAAAAAAAAAAGAAAAAAAAAAAGGTCAAGCTCGCCTCCTACCTAAAACAAGCCTGTTTAAAACACCAGTTAACTCTTCCTCAAACAAAAGTGACAGTTTGATGGGCTTTCCCCCAACCCACTTCCTCAAGCTCAAGTATCACTGTAAGCCCAGGTCTCACAAAAAGGCTTTTTGCTTAAACTTCCCCCTCCTACAGGCCACTGCTCCTTCCTCTGCACCCTGAGCTAGAGCTAGCCCCATGCACGCACACACACACACATTACCCCCCCAGCATCCACAAGCACCACCTGCAAAGGCAGTCATCTCTACTGTACAGCTCTAGGTTACTGCACACCCAGACAGAAGCTTATTTGTGCTATGCTGACAATAACTGCAGCTCTTTAAAAAAAAAAAAAAAAAAAGCAAACAGACAAAGCAATAAAGTTGCCTCCCATTCATTTTCAGTAGTAGCTAAATCATTGTAAAGTTTTAAAGAGAAATTAAATGGTATAAACGTACCATTTTCATTGGTTTTCAGTAACTGCTTACTTTCTTCCAGTTTCTGTATTGTAGCTTCAAGTTGTTCTTGTAACTTGCAAACCTGCAATGTTCCCATACTAATTACAGCTCCATCAGGAACTAGTACTGATTCAAAACTCAAGAAATATGATCACATATATAAGAAGTAACGGATATATACATAAGAGTGAAGGATCGGGACAATTCCAAACTGAGAGAAGTTCAAACTAAATATTATACAAAAACGGTCTGACAATACTTTGAAAGTAAGTCCCTGCTTCTAGCCAGGGTTTGGACCAGACTGCAGCCAGAGACCTTTCTGACCTTAATTCTTCATTATTAAACAATGCAAGGGCCCTAAGCAAGACAAGGGAAAAAGTTCACTCTTACTATTTTTGCCTCTACCATCAACTTTCATAGGAACATGCCCTTTAAAGCACATCTATTCATTTGTTGCACTGCTTTGTACTTTCAGCAGTATTTTCCTTCATGTGGATGTACGTCTCTTGCAAAGCAGTTTAACATGACAATATGAAAACATTCATCACACACACACATGTATTAACTAACTTACAGTAAGTCTATTATGTTGAATAGAATTATTGCTGTAGGTATTTTAAGTTTAAAAAAAAACACGATACACACAAGAAAACATATATGTACTACAAGAAAACATACATGTACTACATACAATAATGTTTACAGGACAGAGGTTCATCTATCACAATACCTCCTGCTCTTTCATTCGAAGAGATTGTCCAGTCTCCTGCAATTCTCTCTGCTCTTTTTGAAGTCTCTCTTCTTTTTCTGCTAATAGTTTTTCTTGTTGAATCGTTACTGTATTTTTCAATTTTAATTTACTCATTAAGGTTTTCAAATCTCCTTGTAACTTCTTGATAATTTCATTAGCCTATTAAAAAAAAAAGGTGTATTTTCAAAATAAGAAACACCTAAAGGACAGACAGACAAAGCTAATGGTATGTTCAAACAAACCTTAAGAAGTTCAGATGACAGTGACCTAATTGTTGTCTCAAGTTTTTCAATATGACTTTGTTTTTTTTCTGTATTCTCTTCCAGTATCACCTTTAAAAGAATTTTGAATATTTTTTAATAATTAAGATATGGTATAGACATCATAATTTTAAATAGAACCTCAATAATTTTTATAACCAGTCCTTAAAAAAATAAAAAAAATCAGTCCTTGCTTTTCAGTCAAATTGCATAGGGTTCTGTCAATTCATCCACCTTTACAAAAATTACCACTAACTTCACCCAACTGCCACAAAATATTAAAACAGTGGCTACCTTCATCAAAATGAACCCAGTTTACTTTTGATGCCATAATTCAGGACCTTTATCTACATTTGAAAGCTTACTTGCTGCACTCATAAAATGTGGTCATCTAGTAACCTAAAGACAGTACAATTAACAAGGTTTACAGAGGTTTAGAGAGAATGAATTTGAAACTTGAAGGAACCTTTTGTTCTTGTGTTGCATCTAATACTTCTTTGGTTCTAACAACCAGTTGATCTTTATCTTTGATCTCTTGTTCCAGGACAGCAACCCGTGTCTGTAACTGATTAATGAGTTTCTCTTTTTCATGACATTCAGCATCCAGAGTAGTGTTCTCCCGCCGCAGTGACAGCACCTCCTGCTTTGCTCTTTGACATTCCTAGAATGTTGGGAAGGAATTTTATTGTTTTAATTAAAAAACAAAAACAACAACAACAACAATAACAACAAAACACAGTAATTTTAAAAGATACATTGAAATTATAGCATGCAAAATATGGAATGAAGAAGAGTCAAACTTAATATGCTATATTTTCTCTTATCAGCATAGGCAGGCAGCTTTATTGCTCTAAAAATTATAAGTTTGGTTATGGGAATTAATTAGCCATACATCATCTACTCCAGATAGCTTTGCTTTCAGTTCTCTGACTGTGGAGTCTCCTTTGTATCTCCTTTCTGTTAGATCTTTATTGATAACCTCAAGTTCTGAGAGTCTGTTCTGCAACTGTTGAATACTTTTCTGATGCAAACTTTCCAATTCCTTTTTCTGTTGTTCATGCTGTTGTTGGTACTGAGCTTGTGCCTACAAAGAGGAAAAAAACAGTTATCCAACAAATCTTAAGCAGAAGCCAAGAATATTGTTAATTCTTTCCTGCTGTCATACCTGGAGAGTTCTTTCCTTCTCATTTGTCAACTCCTGCGTGTGTTTGTTTGTCAGAGCTGCAGTGTATGATGTCCATTCATTTTTCAGTTTGTCTAGTTCCCGGCTCTTCTCTGACAAGCTCTGTTGTAGTTTGACAAACCACACAGCAAGGTTTTAAAAACCGAAGCATTTAATTTGATACTGAATGATTCTTTATTGTTACTTTGTGAAAGTGCATCTCAGTACAAGACACCAAATTATCCGGTCATTCTAAGAACAGGAAAGTAGTTGAGAAGCTCAATAGCAGCTTTCTGACCTTATGTGAATAAAATAATCTTCATTTCAAATTGTATTTTCTTCTAACTTAAGAGTGAAAAAACAGTCTGCTGATGTTCCCTATCATTATCTCTTCTGGATGTTTTAAACACAAAGTGCTCTAGTGGGAGGGGCCAGGGGAAGAGTTCTTAAGCAGCATCTTTCTGTCTTTTTGGTTTGTAGTTCTGCATTTCAATTTACCAAATATAATCTATTAGGCTCCAATTGCATGAAAAATGCAAAGATGAGTGTTCTACTCCAAAAAATGCTCCACAACAGGAGATTTAAGGAAATTTTTCTGTTTCATGATGGTCAAAAAAGCCACCTTGATAGTTCTAGAATTTGACCCATTGCTATCATTCTCCTAAAGCACAAATGCAAAGTCACTACTGGGCTGACTATAAAAATCCAAAAGTGAACCTCCAATACTTCTGATTTATTTGTCATGGTTTCACAGTTTCTGCAAATATAAAGGTTTCTAACCATATGCAGAAAATTTAGAGAATATTTGTCTACTCTTATTCTTTTCTCTCACTTCCACATCAATTATTTTGGCTAGGTAGCGGTTACCAACCAGACCACTATACACACATTCTCCACAGACTGGGAAAAAAAAAAAAAAAGAGTACTAAAACAGAAAAAAAGAGGTAGAACAAGAAAAAATGAATTTGTTAGCATAGCCTTATACTGGAAGTCCACAATTAACAAGTTGTATTCACGTACAGCATTAGTTACCTAACCTAGGAAGTACAAACAACTTAGAACAGGAGAGTTAAAAACGCACGTTACCTGTTGAGTATAACTCAGTTGTCGGGTCAGATCCTCTTCAGTTTTTTTAAGTTTTTCTTCCAAAATCATTTTGTCTTCCTGTGTACAAATTGATAGCAAGACAAACCCTTAGCTCCTAAATTGCTAGTATTTAGGTTCCATTTTACCATCATTATATCCTTTCTAAGCAGCCACATATATATTGTAATTGTGGAAGCATCACCTTATTAAATAAAATCCATATTGAGTAAGATTATACATTAAAAAAAAGAAATAAATGCATTAGCTCACAAGGTAAAAATACTGTATTAAACTTATTAAGTCTCTTTAAGGAAAGAGAGCTATAAAGACTTGAGTACAAAGGAGCTGCATTAGTAACAAATTAACTAAATACTGTAAATTTGTTTCATTAAAATGACTTCATAGGCAGCTCTAAACATGACAGCACAATAGAAGGGAGGCAAATCACAGGCTACGAAAGAGACAACAGTCATACTATGAAATCATTAATTTTGCATTAGATTAAAATTTAGCACTCTACCAACTGCACCAACATTACAATTCTCATTTGCTATTTACACCACTAGCCCTCTGAAGCCCCTAGGACCTTAGAATTATACACACACACATGGTTTCCTAAACCCAATTGCAGAAAAAAAGACAGAAAGCTTACAGTATGTTATTTTTGCAGTTGATCTGGCAATCAGAACAAGGCTATGAAGCATGAAACACCCAAGTATTCAACAGCTGCATAGTGCATGCACTGCATATAAACACCTGATTTTCTGTCAGTTCAAATTATAACACTTGGTTTAATGGGTATGTAAGAGTCTCATTGCTAGAGTGAAAGTAACAATTTAGTTTTGTAACATGTGCCAAAGTAACTGCATGCAATGACACACATGAACTAAAATAATCATTAAAAAAATACACAATTTGGTGCATGCTTTTAAAGTATTAAGACTGAAAAAAAAAAGTTTAAATACACATAGCATCAAGACTCAGTCATCATTTTACCTTAAGGCATTTCAAGCAGTTGGCTAAAAATTTCTTTATTTCTGCATCATTTCCTGGTAGGAATTTTAGAGAGAGATGGGTAAGGTGCTTAAAAGGGTTGGTCTCCACAATATTTAAAGAGACAGGAGTGTGATCTAGATCAGATGTTGAAGAAACTAACTGCAGCAAAAACCTAGGGAAAAACAAAATAAAAACAACATTTACCATACCATTACTGAGACGACCTATAGATCCTACAAGCTATTTTCAAATAAAATATATTTTTATACATGCAATAAAAGGCTGACCAGCTTTTCATTTGAAAAAATGACTATGCCATTCAATTCCAATGTTGTAGTTGATACTACAAATAAATATAATTTGGAATGCTTACACTTTATAACAAGAAACGTACAAAACTTATCAGTTCAGTTATCTGTAAAATTTTCAGAAGCCCATCTTAAACTTAGGTGTCCAAATCAAGTAAGGCCTTGGTAACCTAATTCCAAAAGAAATAGACTCCTCAATCCTATTGCCTAGTTAAATTCACAGTCCATAGTACACACTTCAGGAAACGACCCCAACTACTGGGGAGTGAGGTACTGCGAACAGGGCTTTCTCAGTGTGCACACACAAAAGCCATGTATGAAAATGCCACTATAGGAAAGAGTAAACCTCAGGTCACCCGCCTCACATATTAGTATCTGAGCACTGAAACAAAAGCAAGAGAAAATCCTTATCAGAATGCCTTATTACTGTGGCTTCTCTTGTGAAAAATAACAATTTATACTTCAGTCCATTAAGCTCGTATTAGCTCTCTAGTATTAAACTGTTCCAACCCCCAGGAAAAAAAAAAAAAAAATATATATATATATATATACATATATATACAACCACCCAAATCACACAGCGGTACTGCATCCTTGCGCATCTGCTAGCTTCTTGTAACTTGCCAGCTTCAATTCTGATAAGGGAGCCTACATGTATGCAGCAATGTCACTGCTGAGACCTCTTAAGATTTAGGCTGTGTCAGCAACATCCACTAACCGATACTGAGATGTCCAAGGCAAGGTTAAACAATCCTTGTTCTACTGACTTAGTCTGTTGGACAAATATTTTTAAAACTCAAAACAGATACACAGAGTGATATGGTACTCACTTATCACCTACCTTGGGATATCTTTGTTCTGTTCGTGAATGCATTGTTGAAGCAGATCTATAAATTTTTGTGGGAAAGCAGAGAAGTCTACCAAGAGACCTTGCTGGGATTTCAAGCTACATAAACAGATTGAGAAAAAAATATTAACATTATATAGAAATGTAATTTATTTTCTAAAGAAGTATTTTGTTTACATGTATAGAAAGAACCAATTCTGATCATATCATTAAGTTTTCTAGTATGTTATTTTCAACCCTGAACACAGAAGAAACGTGATCATGTCTTGGGTAATGTTCTCTGGTGATTACTTTTAACTTCAAGAATTTTTGCAAGACCGCTGCACTAAGAAAAAAAAAAAAAAAGCTATTGTGGCAGAACAAGCATATTCCTTCAAGCATAAGTCCTTCTTAAGCACAGCACAGTAAGGATAGGGGCACAGGGAAGTGTAAAGGGACAATGCTTTGCAGATTAGGGAAGTCAAAAATTGCAAAGATTTTACCTGCCTACTTGCTCATTTAATTGTGCACCTTCACTACCAATGTGGTAAACTCGAAGACAGAAACAGACTTGCAAACATGTATGCAGAAGCCATACTTTGTATAATGAAAATATGAAATATTTCTGCACATCTGCTTTAAAAATTCTATTTTACTTTTGAAGCACGTTGATTACACAGGTGTGTATGTATGATATATAATAATACCTTTTTTGAAGAAGAAAAGCATGAACTGTTTGTGCCTGGGGCTCAAATTTGATGATCAAATTCTGAGCAAACAGAATAAACTGAGATGCAACAGTGCAACTTAGAATGGAAAAAAAAAAAAAAGAAAAAAGAAAACAACTACAAGACAAAGCCTCAGGTTTGGAAGCTATGTATGCAGACGTACTTTCCTCTTGGAGTTAGCTCTTCAAATAGTTCACAAACTTACAATAATCTATAAGAAGCAGTTATGATCCAAAAAAAGACACAGGGAGTACAATAAACTGTGGTACTGTAACTACACAGGGAATTTAATGTCAGGATTCTGTCACTCATCTGCATAACCTCGAGCCAATAACCTTCCTAGACTTATCAGTTTCACAGATGGGTGGAAGAGAATACTACCGCCAAAAATCTGCAAATGAGATATGCTAGAACCAAAAGTCTAAGATAAACCTTTATAAGCTAAAAAAAAATATTTTTTATTACCATGAGGAATGTTCACAAATATTACAACTTCACTCACCTTTGAAAGTCTTCCTCAGATATGACAAGATTATAAAGGAAAAAAGGGTCAGCATCATTAGTCAAGCGAACAGCTAAATCCTGAAAAGAAAGGTATTTCAATATGTTTTTAAAATACTGTAAAATACACTGTCGGATTGTTTAAATATTGCAAACAGTTTATTTAATATTTTTACTTTTTAACTAAATTAAAATAAGAATTATGGCAACTAATTTAGAAAGGAGAAAACATTCACATTTAACACAATTTCGATTTTAAATACTACAGTGGGGAAAAAAACAGAAAAACTATTTCTCACAAAAATAAAACAAGTAAAAAACATTCAAATTTCAGCAGCAAATTTTTAGAATTCCACAGCTCTTCATTGTTCTACCTGAAGAAAATTATTTGCCCGCTGAAGAAAGAACATCCCCCATCATTAAATAGTGTGTAGATCCCACCTATGAGTGAGCAGTCCACTGTAGTGGGTCACAAACACGCCATTCCCATATTTGCAGGTTTTTCAGGTCGTATTGCTCCAAGCAATTTGAGAAAACACCTTCTGAACAGTCTATATATATGAATACAGAGCTTAGCAAAGGAAACATATAATTGATGCTGCTAAAATCTAGTAAACTTGTAAGGAAAATTGTAGTTTTATGCTGCTTTGGTTTTAAAAAATAAACTCATTTGTTCACTGTAAGCCTCTGCAGTGTTTTGGAAAAATTGCAGTCTTGTTACAGGGCTGGGACTATTAAAAACACCTGGTACATTAGACCCACACACCTGCTGTCTAATAAAGAGGCTCAAACCTACGTGAAGAGCAGAAGAAAACCAAGTAGAAAACTGACCGGCTCTTCCAGCCTAACTGAAGTGTTACCACAGCACGTGTACACCTACAAAACTGAAGTAAGTTGCAGTAATTCAGGTACCACTAAGAATAACAAAACTCTTAGCTAGAGCGGTGTAAACAAACCTTGGGACTTACACATAAAGCTAGCTGTTAAAACTACTGACACTACAATACAACTAGGGTAGGCTGTCGGGTAGGATAAGAACGCCTGCTTGGTTTCATGTCCCACAAACTGATCCGAGTACAGGGAGTTATCTTTTTAGAGTGATCACTCACTGATGTACACAACTGGATTTCAACAATCCTGCTTTTATATATATATATATGTATATACACATACACACACACTTGGTACACAGTTCTTAACTGAACACTGCTTGTTCAAATAACATCATCACCACAGTTAAGAGAATTAAATATATATATATATATATTAATAATTAGAATTAAATATATTTATATCATATTATATATTATATATAACGTATATATTAATATGTTTAATTCTGGTTATATTTATATTTAATATATCATATTATATATTAGTTATATATAATGTATATATTGATATATTTAATTCTAATTATATATATACTTAATTCTCTTAACTGTGGTGATGATAATGTTACGTGAACAAGCAGTGTTCAGTTAAGCGTTCAGTTAATGAAGACAGATACAGATGAGTGTGTAAAGGAGCAAAACATAGATTTATGTGTGTACATATATATACATATGCATACATATAAATATATATGCGTGTATATGTTTTGCACCTTTACACACCCATCTGTCTTCATTAACTCTATCACCAATTGATGACCAACTGTAACACCACAGTAGGTGGAAATAAAGTTTTAATAACAAATTAGACACACAACAAAACAGATTTCATAATCCCTAATATAAATCTCATTGCTAGTTTCCTAAGGATTTTTTTTTACTGCACTTTAGTACATTACTTCTTTCCTATCCCTACTGGGTGAATTCCTAACATTCAAGGACAGCAACACACACACTCATAAAAAAAACAAAACGTTGCATCCACACAGAAGTTGTAATTTTCAGTAGTTTAGATGAGGACTTTGCAAGGTCAATAGCATTTTTAAACAAGAACTAACTATATTTAAAACAAGACTGCTCTTAAGCTAACTCAAGATCCTGCACGGGTCTACAAATTCTTCTCGTTTTTAAGTTTATAAATTTCCACGAACAGCAAAACTAAAAAGGGTGAGCTAAAAAGGCTATGGGGAGAATCATAGCAAACCAACTGAGTTACTCAAAAATAAAATAAGATCAAGTGACAAACATACCAAAATCTTATTTTGCTTCTCCTTTGCCTGTTTGTCCTGTTATGCAACGAAATACTGATAAAACAATGAACGACACAAATGTAATAAATCTACAAACCTTTCTGTGAACAGGATTAGAAATTGACAGCAGCTCAATATTCACTCGGACATCTAATCTCCTGTGTACAACAAGACGTAACATTAACAAATCAAGAAAATATTCTTCAAATAACATCTGTTCATAGCAACCTTGCAGGAATCAGATGACACTTAGCAACCAACATTTAGGCAGAAATATCAAGAAAGCTCGCACTACTACTACTACTACTAAGATAACTGAAATCATGGGGCTTTCAGGTATGTTACAGCTCCTCAGTCACCTCAGTTGTTTTTTGTTTGTTTTATGCTTACGATCCACCAAACTCTCAATAACAAGGCACAAGTTTTTAAGCTTTGTCTGAAACCAGAACCTCTGGAAAGGTCTGCTGAGATGTATTAATGACTGCTGAAGATTATAACAATCATTTAAGCACCGCTACCTCTGGTCGAGTGACCTGAGAGGTTATGTGCATTAAAACACCCCACAGAAACCAACCGTCCCGTGCCAACTCCGCCGGGCCCTCAGTAACCGCGGCTGCCCGGAGACGCACGCAAACAGCGGCCGGCCTCAGCCCCACACGGGGAAGCCCTAGCCGCCTTCAGCCGCCTTCCCCCCGACCCTCCTGTAACCGCGTCCCCACCGCCCCTCCGTGCCTCCTCCCCGGCCGGAGCCGCTCCGGCCCCATAACGCGCGGACCCCCAGCGCAGCCCCACAGCCGCAGCGATACAGCGCAGGAAGCAGAGAGTATAAAGGAAAAGGCGTCGTTCGGGAGCCCTTCTCTCGAAAGAGGCAACAGAGCTTCCCTACAGCGATCCCTCCCTCCTCACCTCTCCTGGCAGCCAGGGCCCCGCAGCCGCACGCTGAGCGCCCGGTTGAACAGCCCCTCGGCCGCCATTTTGCGCTTTGACTTTGCCGCTCGGCGCCCGCGGAGGAGGAGCCTCAAGATGGCGCCCGGGCAGCCAGCGCGGGGGGAGCTGGGAGCGAGATGGCGGCGCCGCAGCCGGAGCCGGGCCGGTGCGCCTACTTTGTGGCGAGGAAAGAAGCGCTTCTGCAGGATGGTGCCGGCCCTCGGGAGGCGTTTCTGCGGGGAGCACGGGCAGCAGGAGGTACCTGGAGGGGAGAGCCCTGGGTGCTGCGGTGTCCCGGGAGGGGTCGGGGCGCTGAGGCAGCCGCCGCCGCCCCCGGCTGTGGTGGCTCCGCTGCATGGACGGGGCCGTCCTCTAAGGACTCCGTAGGGGAGTCCTACGGGCAGCAGCTCAGCGGTAACGCTGCCATTCAGTTAAAGGTTTAGGAGGTATTTTATTTCTAATTATTCAATTCTTGACCCGCTTCCTCCACTCTAGTTAACCTGGCTACCTCAGCATAGGTGTTTCAAAACACTCAAACGTTGCTCAAAACTCGTAACATTCATAAAACTTAAAACACTCGTAACATTCTCTAAAATGGGAACACTGAATGCGTGCTTTAGTGTTGTTTAAATCTTTTCTTTATAACTAGAAAGAAAATGACAGAAAAAGAATTCCATGTCCTCTTGATCCAAAACAGTAAGTATATGTAAATACTTTTTTTTTTTATAATCAGAGTTCTCATTATAAATGGTGTTACTTACTTTTCTATTTGGATTTTAGCACTGTATATGAAGACCAGCTACAGAAACACTTGAAAAAATGCAATTCAAGAGAGAAGCCAAAGCCAGTAAGTACAGCGTAAAATTCAGCATTGCTTCATCTCAGCTTTAAGGCCCAAACCATTACAGGTTTGTACAGAATTTACTGTGGTGAATATAGCTGTGAAGAAGAAAACTGCAGTCTGAGCAAGCACTACCATAAGCACAGTGTGGAAACTTGTTCAGTTGAAATGGAATTCGCATTCCATGCTCCTTGACTGCTATATCTCACTGTAATTCTGTATAACTTTTCAGTTCTCTTAGTTATGAAGGAAAATGCTAAATGGAATTTTCTCAGATGTTTTCTAAGAACAAGCTCTCACAATGCCATAAAATCATTTATTTTAGAGGCTTAATGAGAGATTGTCCTGGAAAAGCACAACTGGCAGAGAGCTGTAGATGTTTTCTTACCTCTGGCAGTCTGCTAACTTAAGTATCTGCCAGCTTCACTCAATTTAGCAGTGAATTATGGAAAGCAAGGCTGGCAGTTGCAGTCAGTGCTGAAGGAAGGAATCAGATACATCTCAACAGCTGTTACAAGAAAACAAAGACAGCTTCTTTATCCTCTATGTTTCTGTCTTACCAATGCTGCACATGAGAAATATTAAAGTTGTCACTGTTACCAGTCTAGTAAGCATTAACAGCTTAATTCTTATAAATACATTCATTCTTGTCAAAATATGCCAGAACAGTAACTTCTGCTGGGTATTTAGGATCAGACTTTAGGAAAATAATGGTAATAAAATCAGATTGCTTTTCTCTTGCTTTTTGAAGGTCTACTTTGTTCAAGATATTAACGCAGGTTTAAAAGATGTAGCAGAAATACCAGAAAAACAAGTGAGTACGCTTACTCATTCCAAAGCTTGTTCCCTACGTAACATGCTGCAATTTATGATATGACTAAAGAACTAGCAAAAATAAAAAGGTCTTTTTTTCCCTTAAAAGGTAACGCTCTCTTCCCTATCCAAAGAAGAGTTGGAGAATTTAATTATCAAGTTGAAAAAAGCAACTAATGGTGAGCTCACTTAATACACTAAGGCATTTTGAATTGAATTAATTATTTCCTTGTTATATTTTTCATTAAATATTTATGAAAAGGTGAGATGTATTTGACACTAGAACACATCTGAAGTGATTATCATTAAGGTGTAGACAATCCTCTAATAACTAAATCTTAATTAGCAAAAATGATTGAGAAAATGATAAAACAAATTTTGTTGCTGTTCATATAGCTAATTTTCCCTCCTTTTGTGCTTTCTTTTGTTATTTTCCACTCAAATATCACTACGGATAACTATGTTTCTGTTACGAAGCTGTGATGATAGATTTAGGCTCTCAAGAGTGTTTTGTTAATGCCACAAATTGAGCTCATGTTTGAATATCTTAACATGCTACAAAAACAAACTCTTGACACCTATACTGAAAAGTTTTGCATTTGTATGCAGGTCTGGAACTTGACCTTAAGGAACAAATACTGTCTCACAAGGCTTTACATGAAGCCTTAAATGACCCAAAGAATGGGGAATCTGCTTTTAAACATTTGAAACAACAGGTATGGTCTCTGCTTTACTAGTAGCTGTAGATGTCTTCAAAAATGTGGAATTCTCCAGCTGTAAATTCCAATGACTGCATGTGCATAGTGCTAGTCACTTCATATAGAGGAAATCTGATATGCTTTATATAGTTGTATGCTTTTCAAATACTAGCCTATCTATATTAAACCTAAAAATAGCTGCTTTAAGTGTTAGTAACAGAAGTTTATTAAGATCCTAAAATAAAGTACAGTGTGAGATTCTCGTGAGTTTTCATTTGTGTATTCTTATTTTCTATTGATTTAAAAATAAATATGAGCTACAAAAGGTAAACTACTGTAGTGCTAAGTGTAAAAGGAATTTCTTACTTTTTCAATAAAGACTTTCCAGTTGTGTAGAAACATAAAAAGAATTAGTCTGAGTTTATTTTCTGCCTTTTAGTGTATATTGAATATATATAGGAATTTTAAGGAAGATGGATTGCATACTATAGCAAAGTAGGACTTTGAGAAAGGAAAAAAAAGTGAGAAACATCTGTCTTCCATACTTTCTTCCTGTGCTCTACTTTTCTTTCCTATGTATTAAAAATACATAATGACACAGATACAGAGAGGGCTCTGTGGGTACTGATGCTTCATAGCTGTCTAGAGTAGCACCCATATTTTGGGTGGCTACTTTTAGAATCAGCAAAGAACACTAATCTTACTGTGTACCTGATCCCACAAGTCCATTTCAAAGGCTTCTAGGTGGAGTTCTGTGGGTCGGGTGATGCTGATTTGCAAGAATTAACTCTGTTCCTCTGTGCACACAAGACCCCTTCCCTAATGTGTCATGGAAGGGAGGCCTTGAAAAAGTTTTCTGCAGTTTGATGAAATAATAATTTTTTGTCAGGCATTGCCATACATGTGTATATATTTGCTTGGTTCATAAATAATCTTCTTATGTTTGTAGGCTTCCATTTTAGGTAACATGGAAAAATTACATTTGCTTGGTCCAGGAAGATGTTTTATTGAGTTTGGAGCTGGGCGAGGAAAGCTGTCTCATTGGGTTGATGTTGCCTTACAGGATGTTGAAGATATTCAATTTTTGCTTGTGGAAAGGGCAACTACAAGATTCAAGGTAGAAGAGAATATTGTCACATTAGCGGAGTGTAATTTTTAAGCTGTTGTTACTGAAGTTGTTAGCATTTGCTTTTTATCTTCAAAATGACATAAAACCTAAAGAAGAGAAGGCTCCGGAGGGGGACCTTGTTGCAGCTTTTCACTTGTTAAAGGGGGACATAAAAAGATGGAGAGTGACTCCTTGTCAATCAGATAATGACAGGACAAGGGGTAATGGTTTTAAACTAAAAGAGGGGCAATGTAGATTAGAAGTTAGGAGGAAATTCTTCACTCAGAGGGTGGTGAGGCACTGGAACAAGTTGCCCAGAGAGGCTGTGGATGCCCCATCCCTGGAGGTGTTCAAGACAAGGTTAGATGAGGCCCTGAGCAACCTGATCTAGTGGCTGACATCCCTGCCTATGGCAGGGGGTTGGAACTAGATGATCTTTGAGATCGCTTCCAACACGAGCCATTCTATGAAATGTTAAAAGTTTTGGAAGTGTTCTTGTGTTCCATACTTTGTAATAAATATTAAAAAATAAATAATAATAATAAATAGTGTATTCATTAGAAAAAAAATCTTAGTGTTTTATGTTGGAAAGGTGCAGATGTTGACTTAAAAGCAAAAAGTGTGGCATTATTAGTGGCTGGCCATATTTAATGAATCTATTTCATTTACACAGGTGGATGGAAAACATAAAAAGAGAGATTCTGTATTTGAAAGGCTTCAAGTTGATATTCAGCACTTATGCTTAAGTAAGACTTAAAATTAAGCCTTTATTTCAGAATTAAAGGGTTTAATTCTGTATATTGAGTCAATTTAATAGTACATTTAAATGTATCTCATTTTGAAAATTCTTTCTTACTGGTTACCTAGTATTGTTAATGGGGGGTGTGTGTGTATATAAAAATCACTATCTTAAAATTATCAAAGAGACTTAAAATTTCTGCTTTTTTACATTTATGGGACAGTGTTGTGGATGAAAAACAACAAAACAAAAAACACTTGAAAGATTTTTTTAGAAGTTGCAAGATTATACATCTTTGGGTGTACAGAAGGAAGCAAGTTCTGTATATCATTTATATGCAAACACATACTGTAGATTAATGCATCTCCTAAAGACAGTTGTTAATACATAATGTCGTGCTTACATTTAATAGTATGGAAAGGCTGGAATGGTTAAGTGCATTTATTCTAGTATAAATGCAAAATCCTTTATTTCTAATACTGCATTTTAATAAAAGGCACAGTATTTACATTACTATTTAACCGAAGTTTTTCTCTGGGCCACAGTTAATTCCAGAGTTCTCTGGTAATCATTTTACTGATACATTGTTTTTGTTGCTGCTCAGAAACAAAACTGTGTTGCTTTATAACAGCATTAAAATACATTGTTCATACAAAGCTGAGTTGTTCAAGAATAGTGCTTCTCAACCACTACATCTGCTTCCCTTCATCTTAGAAAAAATCATTTTAGTAACAGTATGTGCAGACCATTGTATTTTTAGTAGCATCAAACATTTATTTGTTCTTGTGTTAAGTGTGCTGAAGTTGTATTAAATATATATATATACTGCCCCCTACAGTAATGGGGGGGTAGTTTATTTTTTATTTAAAAAGGTTGTGTTTTGTTTTGTTTTTTTCCCAGATAAGGTACCTAGTTTAGAGAAGAAAAGACTACCTGTGGTAGGAATTGGGAAACATTTGTGTGGGGCTGCCACAGGTATGAATTACATGTTTGTTAACTGCAGGAAGTTAGGATATTATGTCTTACATTCTGAAGGGAACGATTTTCTAATCTGTTTTTATGCTTTTTCTTTCCATCTAGCTCGCTATTGATGAATTCTATTCTAAATATCTGTTGCCTGCAGTGGAACTGAAAATAGATAATAGTAGACACAAATTGTACTTCAGTTTATGACAGAGTAGAACAAATAATGGGGGGGTGGGGGTTGTCCTTGTCAACTGTTGAAAGTTATTTCTTTACACTGTCATCTCTATCCTAAAATATTTTTCTTTCTAAAACTGTATTGGCTCTAAGTACATATTCCAAACAAGTAAGAACTTCTTTTCTGTCCTCATAACTTTGAACTAATACACTTTTCCTAAAATTACATGCCTACTAACTTAAGACATCTCAACTCTAATGCTTGTATATGTACTGTTATAGATGATACAGAACATTTAAGAAGTATACATATTATTAAAAAGTATACGTAACATAAACATTAAGAAGCATATATTAGTATATCCTAGGTATTAAACTTTTAGAGCAAATAGTGACATGTTTTATAGGGAAGAGATCCTCCTTCAATATACCACTCAATTAACCAAAATATTTCAACTTGATTTGGGTAGAAGAAGAGAACTCAAGAGTATAAGCCCTTAGGAGCTCTAGAGGTTTCATAATATTAATTTAGCACTTTAGGTTTTATGTTTTCAAACTATGCTTCTAATTTTTCAGTATTCTCAAAGTTGTTGTTTGGCTTGTGATGCATACTTCTATTCTTTTTGGGACGTACGTTCCCAGCTGCGATACAGCTGATATAAATAAAGGCAGGGTGGTCATTGCTAGTAGTTTCAGTATATCTGTTTTTTTTTTTTTCCAGATCTCGCTTTGAGATGTTTGGTAGAAAGCTATGCAACTTGCTGTGAAGGAGAAAATGAAGAGCCTGCAGCAAAACGTCCTAAGAATGATAAGACAGAAATGGCTGCTAAAAGTTCAGCTGATAATGAAAGGAACAAAGAAGACGTTAAGCCTGTAGCTGGAATTGTTATTGCACTGTGTTGCCATCACAAATGTGACTGGACACACTATGTAGGAAGAGAGTTCTTCCAATCAGTAGGACTTGGACCAGTAGAATTTCATTATTTTCAGAGAATGAGTAGCTGGGCCACTTGTGGCATGCGAGAAACCGTAACCTCTACTAGTGAAGAAAGTGAAGATCACGCTAACAACACAGAAGAACATGACCAACCATACAGCAAAACAGAGAGTGGTTTTGACACTCTGCAAGGGTATGTGATGTTGTTTTGTTTTTTTGTTTTGTTTTGTTTAGAATATAGACTCTAGCAGAAAAGCAAAATTACATATGGTAGAACATGAAATGGTTTTGGGTCCTCAACAAGACTTGTTTTTACAGGAATACTTTAATTACTCATAAAAACATTTTACTTCAAAAATTCAGTTTTCACAGACAAAAGTTTTAAAATATTTAAATGAGATGCTTGTCTGAGGTGAAGTGAATTTATAGTGATTTCAGTAGTTTTTCTAAGCAGAAGTGCTAATGTTCATTAAAATTATTCTCCTAATACATGCTGGTTTTTTCTCCTGTTTGTGAAACTAGGCTACCCGTTGAAGAGCGAAAGGAGATTGGTGCCCTCTGTAAACTGCTGATTGATCATGGACGGATCAAATATTTACAACAACGAGGATACAGGGCTACACTACAATATTACACAGAGTCTGCTGTATCCTTGGAGAATGTCCTGTTGACTGCTGTCCCAGAGCCAACTACATTATAGGATATAGATTTGGAATTGGTAGAAGACAAACTAAAATCTGTCTAGATCACTTGAAAAGCAGATTTAGTGCTTACAAAAAAAAAAAAAAAAAAAAAGAAAAACTGTTTTAGTCTTTCCTCTACTCAGAAAACGGTTTTACAGTTCCCAGTTTCACTTGGAATTACAACTACACAATCCAGTTCTCATTATTGGAAAAAAATCCCTAAGAATACTTGAGACTGGTTGTAGACCTCATTGTTAGGAAGAAGTATATTCATTATTCTCTTCTACTCAGTTACATTCTTTAATCATTAGCAGTTATGATAGAAGAAGGACCAGAAGTGCAACACTCCAAATTTCCTGGAAGACAATGGGTTAAAATAAGAGAAATGAACATAGTTCGTTTTCAGTTTAAAGTTCAGGATAGCTTTGTATTTAAGTAGGCCAAAGTACTTGTTTTATCAGCTCATGCTGCTAATGGAATTCATTAAGGAATAAAATTCATTTTTAAACTCTTGATGTATTTTTGATAATTTGAATATTCATTTAGGAAATACCACTTTAAAAAGCTGGCTTAGGGTTCTAAAGACCATGTCAATTTTTTTTTTAAGCCTTCGTGAAGAACACATCTTCAATGAATTAAGTTCCTTGCAAGTAACAGCTGCTACCTGCACATCTGTTCAAAAGTGGTTTTTGGTCTTCTACTGTGACCTTTAAGCACAGAGAAATAGAATATGTTGCTTTCGGTATTACTGCCACTGGACGTCTTTTTTTGTTGGTTTCTTTATATCTCCTAGTTTTCTTTTATCTAGTTTATCCTTCCCGCTATTCTTATCCTTCCTCACACTATTCCAGAGGGACTGGAATTTGGAAAGAAACCATACCTGTTTTCTTCAGTGACTCCTGAATATACAAGTGCATGAATTCAATGCCGTACATTTCCTGTTGCTCCTCCTCTTCTGTATTCTCACACGGAGGGAGTGTGATCTCTAACTCCAGTGGATTGTCTCTGAAGTTGACAAATCTGACAGTTCATTGGAAAATGTTATGCTTGCACTAGGTTTTGTCCAGAGAAAAAAGCTTTTGAAACTGAATTAAGATTCGTCAGACAACATCTTGAACAAATGAAAAGTAATTTTAAGGGTATTTTTTCCAGATGCTATCTTACAAGTTAATAGAAACCACCAATATTAGAAGAATTATGTAAACTAAATGAAGATGACTTCTTACATTAACTGTAGCTGATTGTGGTGGGATAAAATGTTGCAGTCTTCTGGGCTTCTCCCAGCTGTCAGCCTCATCTACTTTTCATAACCAGGGTTATGAACAAGGGTGCAAGTGCTGATGTTCTCCTAAGTTTGCAAGGCAAGAGCCAGTCCAGTCTTCCTCTGTTCTCAGTTCACCCCTTTCAGCTATTCCACATGTACCTGTGCCTGACTCTATTTCTGATGGTTACCTTAGGGGCTTTTTGCTACGGCATGCTCAGGATATTTTAGCTGCTGTAGGAAATGGGCCAAATAAGAACCGTAAGCTGGGTATTTCTCTGCTTGAGGAAAATGACACCTCTGAGCCTGTCCCTCCACACCCAACCTACTACATTCTACAACAGCTACCATTACACAGGGAACACAGATTGTAGACAGTTAAAGCCTACATCTCCCCTTTCACAAACTAAAGATTACATTGGGCAGGTGAGCTTGTATGTGTGTGTTTAAACAGATGCTGCTTCCTCCTAAATGGTCTGAAAACAGAAGAATTGCTTTACTGGATTAGGGATTATTTAGACTAATATTTTTTCTGTAAAATAACTAAATGAAAACACAAATAACAGGAAAGTTTGTCATAGAATACAAAATCTAGTTGTACCAATTAACAACTTACGTTCTTTCATTTTTTTTTTCTAATCTAGTACAGAAGAGTTTTATCCATATCCTTACAGCTGATACTTTTTTCTTCAGTTCTGAGTGTTTGGCTTTGCAGTGCCAACATTGTACTTCATCTTTTTCATGTTCAACACCTATCTTTCCTCCTGGCTCTTGGATTTAGGGAGCAATATATAAGGCCAATTAGAAGTAAGCATCTGGGCCTTTTGGAAATGAGAAACATGTACTACAGTCTCCATTCACCTTTGGGGCTGTATCTATCATAGCTTATGTACTTTAAATGATACACAACCTAGGGGAAGCTTTAAAACTTATTTGCTAGCATTTTTATTTATGCAGCTTTTTCTTACCTCAGATTTGTCATCTGCTTCATACAAGCAGGAATATTCTTAAGTTTGTTGTTGCTAAGAACAAGAGTACTAAGATTTTTCATATTACCAATGGTTTCTGGCAAAGAGTTTATTTCATTCCTCTGGAGCCATAAGGTATGGAGATTTTCCATTCTGTCAAAGTAGGTATTTGCACAATCAGTCAAGATTTAGAGAATTAAATATTAATACAAAGTAATTGATTCATCTTAAGAATCATAAATGAATTCATTCAGTCAGGTTACATAAAGGACTCACATAAAGAATACTAAAATCTCAAAAAAATTCATTGGTAAAAAACATTTAACTTGATAACTGATAGCAAATTTATTACTTGTTTATAGAATTGATTATTCCAATTTATCAAAAATGCATTAGGGCTGATAAATCCTAAGTTTGCTTTGAGGGTAATATTAAAATAATCTTTTGATGAATTTAACCATTAGAATTTCAGTGCAGCAGAATTCAGACTAAGATGTGATCTTTGAACTGTACTTACCTGTCAATTGCATCAGGAAGCTCCTGGAGTTTATTTCCCCCCATATCTAACCACTCTAGATTTGGCATGTTGAGAAGAGCTGAAGGGAGGGTAGTAAACTGATTCATGCACAAATCTACATGTGAAAGCTTCTTTAATTCACTTAACTAAAAAGGAAGAGAGATTTAATGCTAGTATACATGTTCCATTACAGCAGTGATATAATCATGACTAAGAAAAAATTTAAAATACATTAAAACGTATTTCAGAGTTTGTAAACAAAGAATGGCTTTTGAGTTGCATTAGCTTATATGCCTTAACAACTACAGTACTCTGGACAAAAACAGATTGGCTCCTGCAACTACTCAGGTGTATATATATATCCTTCTCATGTGACTTCAGTTTGACTAGTCTTGTGAGAATACTGGTCATGTGCGTTTCTGTGGAGTATTTATGAAATCAGAGTATCAAAATAAATCTGAAAACATGGAGTGCAACTTCTAATGAGAATAGGTTTTGAATAAATTCAAAATACACATTACCAAACAAACAAACAAAAAAAAAAAGAACAGTATCTCAAAACCTGAGGAGGGAGATCACAGATATTCCTGTTGACAGCCAGTTCCAATCTTTCCAGGCTGATGCAATTGCTTATTTCCTTAGGAACAGACTTTATTCTATTGTAACTGAGAAGCAGCTCTTGGAGGCTAGTTAGCTGGCCTGCAGAAAGCATAAATGAAAGAACAAACATTGACATTAAGAGATTTGAAATACAACATTAACTGTTTTTCGTTATCCTAGTATTTTTATACAAGTACTTTTTGTTCTCACTAGAAAAAAAAAAAATCATTGAAATTCAAGAACTTCAGGACACTAGTATAGAACTCTAGTTGAGTACTTCAAAAAAGCCTGAAAACTTACAAACAAGGGCAACTCCTGCTGTGAGCTCAGAACTTATAGCATGTTTTTCAGTATCACTTTTCTTTTATGTCTAATAACTGCTGTGCTTACAAGCTCTTCCCCCCACCCCCAAAGAGCTTTCATAAAGACATAAAGATATGTCTTCTTTTACCTGGCCTTTTTTTTTTTCCTAATTTGTAGGGACTCAATAGCTTTAAGATCTGTCTCACTGCCAAATTTAAATCATGTTTTCTATCTACCCAGTTAGAATGCTAAAGAGGCAAAATGCACAAAAGTGGCATGTTTGAATAAAATTATTTTTCTTAGAAAAGCAGTTTAAAATAGAAGAAAGCATAGCTCACCAATTTCTTTAGGTATACTTTCTATTGAATTTCGGGATAGATCCAGAACAACAAGATTGTGAAATCTTCCAATGAACTGAGGAATTTTCTGCAAGCTAGTTCTGTGAAGCTGCCATTCCTGGAGATGGAGTAGTTTCAATAAACATGAAGGTAATGTCTAAGACAAGAAAGAGAGACCAGAAGAAATTCAGGCTTAATACACAATAATACAGGCTTTGGTAGAAGGTGGTGGTTGGTTATTTGAAATATTAACACTTTGTATTATCATTATAATAAGTCTTCCTTGTTCTTGAGCTATACTGTAGGATCCAGAAAAATAGTTCCGAACACTTGTGTGACTCTAATCGTTGTTTTAACCTGCCCACTGTTTGTTCCCAGGATTTAGATATCTGCACTACTGTCATTACTTGAAAAGCTTCAGGCTTTATAACTGAAGATGAAACTGCTCTAAATCGCTTTTTGCACTTCAGTGGTGATCTGAACTGTATTTCTTGTTCTGTCAAGAGAAACAGTGAGCAGCTGAGAGCAGAAGAGCGGAGGGATAGAATAACTGCAGTGGTTGTACGTTATTTGTTCTTAACAAAGAACAGAGCTTCCTTACACTAACCTATGGACCCCCAGAGTATTTCTGGGTGGGGCTGTTACTCTCACTAGGCCCCAGCATGGCCTCATTCACTTCATAGAGACCAGCATCTGCATTTCTGTGTTGGTGAAGCTGCCAGCTCTGCAGCTTAGAAGGTGGTTAGATTCCATTCAGTTGTTGATTCTACAGTTAGCACTTGTGCACATACATGTACACTAGAAACAATATTCTGGGAATACAATTTATTCATTTTCTCTTTTAGAAAAAGTAACTAACAGTAAGAAATCTTTTCACTCATCTAAACACAGTTTTTTTTCCTTGATATATTTCAGTAGTTTTGGTACATTAACAAAATGAGGATTTACCTAATTAAACTCATGATTTGCAATGCAAATCTCTTCTAATGCAGGAAATGGGCTGTATTTGGGCTGTATTTTTGCAAAGTAATGCTTAATACTCAGGACTAAAAAAAAAAAAATCAGCTTGCTTTTACAGTCTCACAACAGTGCACCTCAATTCACTGTTAGCAAAGCACCGCATGAGCGCTTCCTAGAATAAAAATAGTATAGCTGTGAGTGTAAAGATGTAAATAGTAGTTTTCTAATGCATCAGTCATTCAGCCCAAGCAACGTTAATACCTATTAACACTACCTTCCATTCTTCTTCTTCTATCCTTAAAATTGCTCTTCCATCTTCATTAATTATTTTTTCTTTGAGCTTTGCTAAAGCGGCTCTCTCCTCCCAGACAAGCAGTAGCCTACAACAGAAAGACACTCTTTCAGGGTTTCTCAATACTGGCAATAATTGCTACACATTCTATTTTCTGGAACAACAAAGAAACAGTAACTATTTTGGGTAACAAACAATATTTATTACCTCTGGATGCTAGTTATACTATCAATTAAGGGAAAACAAGAACATGAAGTACATGAAGTAATGTTTGTCTGGGGTAACTTATAGGAATTTTACTTATTTGCAGCTCAACACATTTCTTCAAATATATGGTCAGAAGGAAAACAAAACTGCATTCAGTTTCATCATATTGCATCAGGGCAAAAGAATATAAAGTCATGTGAAATTACAGTTCCAATTTTGAAACAACCTCTTGGGACAGTTCAACCTGAACTGAGTAAGTGCAAGCAGACAAGGTCAATCAGCTAAGCATTCGTTTAGCTTTGTTTCTGAAGGGGACTTGAATAAGAATTATGAGAATAAAGCTAATTCTCTTTCTTTCAGCTTTTATTTTTCAATAGTAACTTCTGAATTTGTAATTCCATTTCAAAATACATTTGACTGAATAAGGAAGGGCTCCGAAACCGCTAATTTCTTCACATTTCATTAAATTGCTGGCCACATAGAAAACTAAGTGACCCTGTTAATTCCTCCATTGAGGATAAAGCACTAGCAAATTAAATCCTGTATGGATTACTCTAACCTGTGGAGAGAATTTTAATATCCGTATTTAGTGGGTTTAGTATATGCTAACATTTTTATCTTAAAACGCAGTTCTTTGCTTGATGAACATATTGCCAGATTTGAACCAGTGGGAATTCTGCTGGAGTAAGGGCTAAAGAATTGGACTGGATGAGATTGAAAAGACTAGTTACAGTCTACTGCAGCGTACCTTATGGTTTAGTTTTTTACAAGCCATCTGCAATTTACCTACCTTCCTGCAGACCTCTGTCTGAATTCCTTTTCCTTCCGTAATTCTTCATTTATCTTCTGTATTCTTACTTCCCAAAGTGTCTTCACAGCAGTGAATGATCCAATACAAACTGCAGTTTCAGTCATGATTCTTACATGTTCAGGTTCAGCCACAGGAATCTGACTGTAATTTCAGGCTCGATGCATCAACGTATATAACAGCTACCAGATGGGAACAGTGACATGAAAACTAAAATACTGCCATACCTCCTCGATTACATCATTAAACATAGTTAATGTATTTAAGCTGACAGATTTTACCAATTGCTTTCTCTCTACAAAATAATTGCACCTAGTTAAATTTTATAGTTAAAAAAAGGTGATTAGTTTCATAAATCAGTTTTCAACAAAATCATTGTACAATGACCTGGGGAATTTGATCATTGGAGATCATTAAACCACAGTAGAAGTATCATTCAAATATGTTTATAACTACAATAAATAATGACAACAAATAAATTAGAAAGCACAAGGAATTTAAACCTTAATTTCGGGAATCAAGGTAAATAATAACCGTTGAAAGCACCATCTTGAACTTTTTTTTTCCCCAAAAGGTACCCCTGTGAAGTATGTTTTTGCAATCTCTTCTGCATTCTTCATCAGTGAAGAACTATTTCTTTCAGTTTCTTACACCTTACAATTGTAGACTAAGAACAACCATAATTATTAAATGCAGATATAAACATTCATTCCTTTCCCAGGAAGAAATGAAACTGTTCCATGCAATTTTAGGCAGTTAAATCATGGTAGCTGCATCCTGGCAGGTATAAATGTTTGGAATTAAAGGAATTTTGCACTTCAGAGAAACTAAAATGTTGCTGGAAATAAATTATCATGCTTAATTTTCTTAATGGTTTCTCTCATATTCTCATATATAATCTCATATTATATTTTAGAGTTAGTAATACATTACCTTTCAAGGCTTTTTAAGTTCTTCACACCTCTCTCTCAGTCTTCTTGGGGTCCTCCTGAGTTTCAGGATCCCAATTTATAAATAAGGCTAATGTTCTGAAGTCATCTTTTCCTTAGAGAGATAATTAATACATAATTTTCTGAAGAGCTGCAAAGTAGGATATTCAATCATCCCAATAGGTGCATCCCTCTGAAAAATACTGTCAGTATTGTAATGATTTGGGGAAAGTTGTTTTTTTGTTTTTAGAAGTAAGCTAAAGCACTGATAATCATATCAAGGAGAGCTTGGAGGGTTAAACTTTGTGCAAATAGCAGTGTACATACCTGTACTCTGGATGCTGGCAATCTGATTGCTCTATTTCAACTTTTCAATAATATTTGCAGGGGCTAAGTAACAAAAATGTTTACATATCCATTCAAACTGAAAAAGTGAGGAAAACTTTCTTCCTAACAAGTAGGTAGATGTAACGAAAGTGGAATGTCAAGTCTTTTCATGCAAATATTTCCTTACAATAACTGCAGCAGGTCTGCCTTTTAGAACATCCTTTACCATCATGTTTATTCTATTTTAATTTTACATTGCATGGATTACAGTCGTTTAGTGAACATTTCTGTGTTCAAACACGTAATCATTCTGCTTCATGTTTACAGTGTCTTTTTTTACCAGAGTTATTTGTAAAGCCTGGTTATACTGAAATCAATTAATCAACAAGGTATAGCCAGGCAAATAATAATTTTAAATCATCAGGATTACTTTCTGTTATAAAGACAGCATACAATCATATTATAAAGCTTGAATAAAGGAGAATCTGGTCCAACACTTTCATATTGAGGATTCTTAACTGTTCTCTGTTAAGGAAAATTGGCAGAACTTGACAGGTGATGCAAACAGTGTCACACAATGTGGCACAATTCACCCTGGTGCATTAGGAATTCAATCCCTTTTTAGGAATTCAATCCCTTTTTTCCTTTAAAAGAGGATTCTTTCCTTTTTCTCTCTTCTGCATAAACATGATCACATTTATGTGCTATATTTTGAAAGATTAACTTCTCTTCCAGTGATCCTCATAGAAATTACCTTTCCCATTCATCATGCAAATATGCAACAGTAGTGACTAAAACACTGTATGAGGCTTTTTGCTCTGATTTGTAGTTTCAATTTAAATCGCCATATTCTTCAGGGCTAGATTTCTATTGGGATTAAGCAAGTTACCTGATCCATATTTTCTGAACTATATGCGTTTTCAGGTAGAAAACTAGAAATCTTTTTAAGTGTGTTGTGCAGAAAGGAGACATTAGGGTTCCAGTCTCAAAAGATATTTGTTCATGCATACTAAACCCAGTATCAGACTATATAATCAATACTTATTTTTATTGCAATCTTACACTTGACAACTCTCATTTGCAGTGGAAAACAGACGATTTAATAGACATTGCCTTAAAGCCATGAAATATCAAAGAGGCCCTAGGGATACGATTCTGTTTTCAAGGATGTTTAATTATATCACAGGATTATCAAAAGCTTTTAGTTCTTTTACGTTTCATTTTCATGACTAAAAAATGGACCACAAATATAAAAATCACATTGTCACTGACAATTCAGATGGGAATTCACAAGTGTGGCTGTAAAACAACCTCAAGTTCCTCCCATGTAATCTGATCTCCCCAAAACTTCATCTCCAATCATGTGAACAAGTTTAAGAACAACTTACCTCAAAGATGTGGTGCTTTCAAAGATTTTCCATGACTCATTGCTTTCTGCACAAGAGAATAGATAAGTTACAAATCTTGTCTGTACTACCAAAAACATTTGGAACTCTCACGCAGGCTCCAATGCAACGTCAGTCTAGTTCTAATTTTAACCTATGCTGAGAATAGAAGGTATCATATGAGGCACTTCTGCAAAACCCCCAAGCATTTACCACTCCTCACATCTTCCCAGTTTGCTGAAAATGACTAGACTCCCATGCATTGTTTATGAGATTAACAAAAATTACTAATTGTGAACAAAAAGAACATACTTGTTATGACACATAATGAAAACTAAGCAAGTTTTCAATTCAAAACAGCAATTACTTGTTTTACTCTTATATTGATTAGTAAAATTATAGATCACTATTTTAGATAAAAGTCAGAAAACTGGATCATTCTAACCCATATTGCAGATTATAAGGGTATAAAATACGAAGATGAAATTTAACAAATGTCAGCCATTTGGTTGTAATCCTCTTTCAGTAGAAAGAATTTTCAGTCATTATTAGGCTTTCTTAAACTATTTAGATTCTACTGTTACAACACAGAACTTTATAAGAAAAAAAAGGCAGGGGTAAGCCCTCTCCAGACCATCAAAAACTACCTGACTGCTAATGCCTACATAAAAAAGATACTGTTTTAGCTTTCAGTCTTCAAATGTGTATTTTTCGTAATTTTGTGTGTTTGTTTTTGATGGAGCTGGGGCAAAGTTATGCAAAAGCAAAAATGATCTAACAGCTTCTTTGGTAATAGGTATTTCTTCTTTCAGTTCTAGTATATGTTCAATCCTCACGGTATTTTTATTTTTTAATACAAAAAATCATAACTTAAAGTCTACTTAATTTCTTCTTCCTTGGAAGAGGTAGATAATTAGAGTTAGACTAAAAAACTCTTCTCTTTTGTTGGATTTTTAAGAAATTTCACATTTCTCCTGTGAACAAAAATCTTCTATGAAACATTTCAAGATCACTTTCTATTTTACACTTTTGTTGTCTCGTTTCATTTTTTGCATGATCATAACACTAAAAAAAAAAATACACTGCTCAGACTGGACCCTTACCACAACAATATACTTGTAGGAGAATAGCCATTAGGCTGCGTTCTTTTAGTAGTCTCAAGTGCAGTAGGTTCTCTAAGATAAGAAGAAATAGAAGACTGAGCCACCTGTATAGGATTGCCTGCATGAAATTCACAAATAAAACCAGTATTACTACAATTCTTTGTGGCTTTAAAAAATTTATTAGGAATAAATAAATCTGGTAAAAATGAAATAAGTGATAAGCACAACATATTAGTCAAACATTGCAAGAAACGACTAATATAAAAGACCCTTATACCACAATAAAAATATAAATAGCACCTTACATGTATACTCTCCACCTACATTACCAGCTTTCCTCTTGCTCAGTCTCAGCATCAAGGGTAACAGAGATTCTACCTCTGGTAGCTTGTGTCTTGCATCTTCACAGCTAAATACATTAGACTACTTTGGTCTACTATTTTGGAGAATGCTCCTGTTTTTGATATATCTAAAGAAAGGAGAAAATGTCCAATTTGCATATTATTTTTTAAGGCCATGTAACTGTCCAGCTTACATTTCTAGAAGGCATTTATATCCAACCATTTTCTTTGTATTTCCTGTTAAACACAACTATAATCCTTACCATCTGTTTAGTTTACCTTAAAGAAACATTACTATCGTCTGTTCTGAAGGCATTAACTTGAACCTGTTAATTACTTGCCTTGGATCTCCGTTATCCCACATAGTATTTTTTTAATACTAATTCTTTGTTGTATTAGAGTAACCTGTCAGATTCTAGTATCTGAACATCAATAACACAAGATGGTGAAAACTTTTAGAACACATTCTGCTTATTGTCAGGCTTATCTAACCACAGAGTAACTAGTAAAATCCTCTTTTTTTTTTTTTTTTTTTTTCCACAGACATCCTTTCTGTAAGAAACAAAAATAACTGGAAGGAATTTAAAGATTGCAACTACTTACAGCCTACAAAAATATAGTACATTCTAGACAGTTTTAAGGCCCCAATAGTTATCATTAAATGTTATCAGTAAGCATTTGAATAAGTGTGCCCTCTTCCCTTTATCATTTGATAAAGAGTACCTGTGCATATAATGCCAGGAAAAAGTGGAGTACCAAAAGTTTTGAGAGGTTAATTAGTTAAATAACAAAAAGCTCTCTGGACATCTTACAGCAGAAGCATAATAGGTATTTTATTCATGTTTGATTTTTGCATAACTTCTTTTGGGAATTTGGATATTACCTGTTAAAATAAATTTATGTTTCCAACACAGAACAACTGCAAGCTTTTCCCTTCAAAACCGGTTAATCAGTTTAAAAATATTGCAGACGTAGATCGATCAGTGATTCATTTAGACCAGCCTCATGACCATATGTATTACAAAAGGCAAAATAAAGACAATCCATCACCACATTCAGAAGTCGCGCCATGACCTATTGACAGCTGGCTGTAGAAGAAATTACAGCACTACTAATTAAAAGATGTAACAATTAATTGATAGACTGATTTAAGCTGTTGAGAACTTTTAACCACATAAAATTGTTATATAATGTAAGTAGCAAAGGGCATGTGCTAGCCAAGCCAGCTTTTGTAATTCTTCAGTCTAATATGAAAAATTTAGAGGCATATTCTAGCCATGGTTTCCTTTATTTAAGGTCTAGCAGCATTGAAGCAGGGTTCTCCAAATAAGATTTCCACAAGTTAGAAAATCGGGCCATTGTAGCTCCATCAATAATGCGGTGATCAGCTGACCAGCTCACATTCATTATCTGTGCTTTAAATACTTCACCTTTTCCATTAAACCGAGGAAGAATCTAAAAATCAGAGAAAGGAATAAAATAGAAATATGAAATATTTTAATTAACAAATCTGTAGTTTTATTGTTAATTTGTTAATCTAAATTCAAACATTTGACTAAATTAGGCAGACAGGTAACAGTAGTGCCATTCAGAAATGAAAGAGCTTCCATCATTCTTTGTGCTGCAGATGAGAATATATTGTGAACCTATATAAGAAAGAGCTGTATCCTGTTTCCACCATCCTGGAAATACTGAAGTAGTGAAAACCTTTCTTGACTCAAAAGCCCCCTCCTGAATAGTTTCTTTCACTGCTAGCATTCAAAATGACAGTGTCCCTAAAGCATTCCCTAAGCAAAAGGATCACAGAAAGAACATATGAAAAGTAAATCTAGTTAATATTGTCATGTTCAGTATTGATCTCAAATGTCTACATTAAAAATTTAAATCCCCAAATTCAGAAAAAAAGAAGTTGCCTTAACCATACAGAGTTCTGTATAGATTCAGCCATCTGGATCATTACACTAAGTATTATTAGAATACTTTTTTAGTCTCAAGTTCTTTCCGTGATCATAGCAAGAGTGCTATTGCCATGTTGCAAAACTTATAATTTATTATATTTACTAATAACTAGAAGATTAAATTTATATGTGAGTGAATATAACAGAATTCTAGAAAATAAATCTGAATTTTTGGCATAAAAGACTTCTATTGAAACATTTGGCATCTCTGGCCAGCCATCTAAAATTACCACAAAACTTTTCAATCACAAGCTATGCATTCATATAACAGAAAGAGGTCATGTTTTTGTGAATATGTATACACACACAATATATATATATGTGTGCACACATGTATGTTTATATATATATATATGTATATATAAATATAAATATAATATAAATATATCTAAGAACATTATCATTTAATATGACCTTAGTTCACTAGAATTAAACACGTCACTAAGTTAATATACCTGTATCTTTCCAAGTGCTCCAATAGCTACTTCAGGAGGTACTATTACTGGTTTGGCGTAAGTGCCACCAATCTAAAAAAGAAAATGCTAGAGATATTATCAGTTAAAGAATAATTATATAATTTATTTGAAAAGGTTGATTGTTTCTAGAATGAATTGTTAATCATTTTTTTCTTTGCATATTAAACTTAAATTAGAGTGTTAATTTCAGAAGCAGTTTTCAGGTTATGTTCTCATTTTTCTGGTACTTACTGTGCCAATATTTGAAAGGGTGAACGTTCCCCCAGTGAGGTCATTTGTTCCCAGCTGGCCAGCAGAACCCAAGGCTTGGAGGCGATTTAATTCAGAAGCAATCTCAAAGACGCTGCAGACTTGAACATTTTTCACATTTGGGACAATTAAACCTTGTTCTGTGTCCATAGCAACTCCAATGTTGTGCGAAGCCTACAATAAGTTTCATTAACTGGACATTAACATAAACAGTCAACATAACATGTATTGCACACAAAAAAAACTTGAAGAATGCTTTCAAAATTATATATATTGGCAATAATATATATACGCACGCACAATAGAATATATACATACTTTTAACCAAGGAAGCTTTCTCTACATTAAGCTCCTCTATACTATTTTGAACAGAGGAATGGACGTAAATTTTTTAGAATTAGCTTTTCACATCTGCAAAGTAAGTCCAAACTGATTTTTGTGGGAATTTCACCTCCAGGAAATACAAAATCTGGAATCAATTTTGCACTGAAAATATTTCATGTTTTGTTACCCATACAACCATCTTTAAAACGACTATCAGTTTAGAAGAGAACACTATAATACTATAGAACACTATTATATGAAAAACAGTAAAAAAAAAAAAAAAAAAAAAAAGGAAAGTGAGTTGTCTTTCATTTTGTAGAAGAAATATGTAAGGATTCGTCTACAAGAGTCTGACAAAACAGCAAAACAGGAGCTTCAGGCAGGAGCTTCAGGACCTTTTACCATTATGTGTATTATATACAGTACCTTAGAAAACAGGCACTTGTTTTCCAGAAATATCCCACCAGTGCTTTGTATGAAATTTAAATGTTTTATTAAATTTATCTTATGAGTTTAATATGTAAGGGCTGAGAGTCAGAACAGTAGAACAACTGTGTCATTACTAAAAATTACTGTCACTGGATTTCAGATGTTCTCAGACGTTCTGAAAAGTCCTCGTTAGCTGTTAGCTTGGATTTTCTGTTCACAATTTTTATCAGTAGTTTACAAACCTTATATGTGACGTTTTGACAGCTTTCATCCAAAGAAGCATTAAGAATGGGATACTGCAATAATCCTAGAGAAGCTGCCTGTTAAATATAAACAAAAAATAGATTGTTATACTTTATATCTCAGAGAGGTACATGGAAAGCAAGAAATGGTAAGAGAATTTAGATTGATAACAATTTGGTTCTTAGTGCAATAAAACGTGGCTTCAACTCTCCTAAGCTCTTTGTGTGTTGATGCTTCATCATGATTAGGAAAACAGAAGAAAAACTTCCAGAAAACAAAGATAGATGAAACAGACATATAAAAGATAATCCCTTTTTGAAATATAACTGAAATTGAATCAGCATTTGTTATTTCCTGTTCAAGATTTCAAATCAAATAGCCCAAGAAAAAAAGTTACAAGATGCCTCAGCAGTGTCATTCTGAACTCCCCACTTAGATGATTATTTTTTCAGGGACTATTAATGCTGCCTAAAAAGAGCGAGAAGATTAAGAGCTTATTTAACACTCCAGTTGAAATAGCATTATCCTAAGTTTTAGACTAAACTATGCATTCATCCTTCAGTGATGACAACAGTTGGAAATGAAACATGACAACTAAATGAGTACAAGTGCCTGGTCTCCTGAACAAGAGAGGACACGGACTCAATTCACCTGAATAACAGAAGAGACGTACTCATTCACCTGAGGGATTCATTACCAATGGACACCAAACCAAACCAAAATTAAATTGTGTTCCACACATGAGGTTAATTTTAATGGAGCTCACTAAAAATACCAATAGTTTGCTAAATTTGTTTTGTTTAATTTAAATACCCAGTGATGCTTACCCCTTTCCTAAGTAATGCTTTGTCTGCTTTATCTTTCTCCATTAGTATTTCAAATAATTTCCATGGTATTATCTAACCCTGGCTACAATTCCAACACTAAATTGATGAGCAGTTCAATAAACAAGAAAAACTGATACTTTTCTTGTGATCTGTGATTTTTCAGGTGATAGAGGTGCTCCAACCTACAACAATAATTGATCAGAAGATTTTAAATCTTCTTAAAAAACAGCATTAGTACTTCAAATAGCCCTCTACTGGTTGTCTCACCTTTATGAAGAAGGGCATAAATGAAAGCTTAATTCCACGAATTTGTGCTAAAGGTTTCATCTCTTCTCGCAACTGAACAAGCTGAGTCAAGTCAATCTCATCACAATAACCAAAGTGAGGGATCTTCAAAGCTGCATTCATAGTCTTTACCATTGCCTTGTGAAAACCTGGAAAATATTCACTGACTTCATACTCCAAGAAAATTAACTTCTGGGAAGTTATGGTGAAATTCCAATTATTTGTTTATGCTAAAATTACTAAACTTTAAAAAAAGCACAGGGTAAAGTCCACCTTAGGGCCAACAGTTATTCAGCACATACAGCTCAATTTTTACAACTTTATTATTTCAGATCATATTAGTGCATCTCTCTCCTCTGTATATTTTTGAAATCACAGTATCGTAGTACAGTGATCTGCACTATTTCTGCACTATTCGCTCTACAAGCCAATACTGCCTGAAAGGCAACGAGAAAACGTTTTTTTTTTCTCTCCAATTTGCAACCCAAATCCATCCAACCAAAACATGAACAATTGTTTCATAAATATTCATTGAGTAACTTTTACTGGTAGTCTACTGTGAACATCATGTCAAGACTTCATGTTTCATGAATTACCTGTTATAGGTTCAGTTTTGTCTTTTCCTGAAAACACAATCGGTCTGGAAACAGGTACAGGAATTTTGCGTGCTTTGTCCTTTGGAGCAGTTGGCACTGTCTCTGATTTTGGCAGTGGTGGGATAATTTCAGCCTTTGGTGAGGGAGGTAGAATAGCTCCTGTTTGTTTGGCCAAATAATTGAGTATGTCTTCCTTAAGGATTCTGTTATCTTTCCCTGTTCCAACAACTTCACTCAATTTAATCTGAAAAGTACATAACAAACTATGACACTTGCTTTACAGAGATATAAAAATATTCAATATTGTGAGAAACAGTTCATTATTCCAAGTATTAATCCAACATGCCTACAATTTCCCTCCCTTCCAGCATCTTGTAGGTTCTGTGCACCTGACCAACCAGGATATGACCCCATCACAGAACAGGGAAGCAAAACAGCACACAGAGCGTTGCCTATAAAATCAAGCAGCTACGAGTCCTAGGCAGGATTTGGACCAGACATGCCACTACACAGCAAAACACACGATTTTCTGGTGGTCAAGGACACCTCCATTTAATTAGAACAAAAGCTAAGTAACCATAAGCTACACTACTTATGAAATTGTGTGCTATGCTAATTACAAAATTCTGTGAAATAATAAAGCTTTAATTCTAACTACAACTTAGTAGCATTTTACCCACGATCCCTAAGAATACATCTGTCTCTGCAGCAGGCAGGTGACACTTTCAGTAATTTACTAGGTACTCAACTTTGCTCAGATCATCTAAAAGGCCCCGCAAGGTGTCTAACTGCATACTTAAGGAGGGACAAATGCTACTTACCTCTTTATTACATGATCAGTGGTAAAATATTAATTTGAAGAAAATTAGTGGTCACTTAAATTTCTCTCTATTGTGGTGCATTTTTAGGAGAAAAATTAAACAAGCTTTCAAAAACAGTGGAATATTCATAGATTCACCAAAAAAATATAAAGAATTTAAAAAGTCCTTAAAGGACCACCTAGTCCATCCCCTGCTCTTACACAAATCTGGAGAACAGAACAAACTACCTAAAGCTGAGAACTGATTTTTCTTTCTTCCCTCCTTTGTCACAGAAATCCATTTTGATACTTCATTCTTTTTTCCCCTCTAAAAAAGGTTTTCTAAAACCTCTACCCCAGAGCACCCTAGCTTCATTTTAAGCCCAGTAATTATTTTCCTATAAGTCATAATCATCAGAAAGCATCATTCTCTCCATTGCTACATTTTTTACACATTTGAAATAAAATTGCAAATAAGTCATTTCTCACTGTACTTTCCTCTAATCAATATCCTCTCAGTCAATCAACTGATTTATAAAAGAGGGATAAAATGTGTCCAGATGCGATTCAGCAAACTTACATTGTTTTCCATAGCAAGGCGACGAACTGCAGGCGTAGCTAATGTTTTGTGACCTTTTATCTCTTGGTGCGTGTGTTCTTCATGAGACATAGCAGGTGTTTCAACAACATCTTCTTCTGGGGCAACACCTGAAAATAAAATGAAAAAAATAACTTTATTAGACTATTCTATAAGAATTTGATAGATTTCAGAACTTGATTTAAATTTTCTAACTCAAGAAAAAGTTAAATGGACAGTGAACACTGTCCCAAATTTCTTACAATAAAAAAAAATATATATATACATATATTACCTATTCCTCACATGAGATACTGGGGAAGGGAACACAGTGCTAAAGACTGCTGCTTGAGTTTTCAATAGGAAGTAACTGGCCTTTGAAGTTTTAAATTCTAACAGTATCACAACATTTTCCACTTAATCTTCTTGACTTTACAGAACAAAAAGTCAATTTCACATTTATCATTTTCAGGAGGAAAAAGTAAACTCCCCCATCAATCTGATGGTTTATGACAATAAAATATGCAATAGAAAAAACTGCTTGCAATACCTTTTGAAGCATCAATTTCAATGTCCACTAATGGTTTTCCAACATAAGCAATTTCATCTAAGTTGTAATGGAGTTTCCTAATGATGCCATCATAACGACTGGTAATAGTAACAGAAGCTTTATCGCTTTGTACTTCACAGATGCTATCGAACTGAGAAACACTATCACCTTCTTTTATATACCTAAACAAAAAGGAACATGTTAATATAAACATAACAACTGTTAAAATCCACTTTGTGTATTCTTTTGGTAAATTCAGTTATGTCTATCTTCACAATGTTAAATGCATTCCAGATAAGATGACAAATCACACATACTGCATACATTTGCTATATACCTTTTGCCAGATGTCACACAAAAATGTTTTTTGAGCAATGCCACAATGTTTCAGAATATCACCACATATACAATTTTTACTATTACTTTAGCTAAGCAGAGTTTTTTTGGCAGATAATAAACCATGTAAAAATAAGAATAAGCCTAGCTTAGTTTGAAGCTGAAGAAGTCTGTTTTGAGTTGTCAGGATCAGTGTATCATCAGTTTCAGAACAGAATCTAGAAGCCGGAATCTGTCTCCTACACAGAGATATTGCACCTGTGTGTACAAAGAGTGAGACATTCTAACACTGCCTTGCTCCCTCTGCTGGACACTTTGTTTTTGCTTAATCCAAACATCACCTGCTTTCTAGCAACAATTTAAATGTTTAAATATTTCGTTAAATTAATGAAAAAGGGGTAAAAGATAATTTTACATAGATTCTCTAGAGTTGTATTTTTTTCTAAAGTACAGCCAAGACCTCCTGTACCCTGAAAACACTAAAGGAAAGCCTATGAACAGGTTCAGTTAGGGCACCCCATTCCCCCCACCCATTTATTTCCCATTTTCAAATGAAGCAGATTACAAATATACAAAACATAAAGCTTACTGTATGCAATGAAAACAAAACTTGAAAAACTTCACAGAAAACACTGTCAGGTAAATAACTGAATTATTGACAATTATCAATAATACTCAAACTACTTGCTGATTTCTTAGTATATTTCTTATATATAAGAAAGCTTAGCTTACCATTCTTTCACAGTCACCTCTGTAATCCCTTCTCCAATATCAGAAAGCTTAAACTGGACAATTTGGCCACACGAAACTTAAAACAGACAATAAAGAAAAACAGCATGTTTAATATTAAATATAAGACAGAATGATCTGAATACATTAAAAATGGTCTATATACCAGCATATAGAAGTCTCTAACATAACGTTCATAAAATAGCAAAATAAAATAATTTTATTATGAAAAAGATTACCAGCAGATGTTCTGAATAATCGCTGTTGATGACTAAACTTGAAGGCAGATTTGTCAAACACGCACACATATTTTGATTTTACAAAGCGAATGCTGCTGCACGATCTAACGTGGTGAGCACAAACCTGGGGGAAAAAAGTCTTAAGTGTTAAAATATTAGACTGAGGAGGCAGAGCTCATTTAATAATCTTGATGCAACAGCAGTAACAAAACAGTTTAACTGTAATTTATATAGAGAAATTCTTATGAAAACACAATTATACCAAATAAGTACTGAATGTATAATAACCATTAAATTAGCATAAGCTTTGCAATGTCTTTAACTTCTTTTACTAACACAACACATGGAGAGATTAAAGCCACAGTAACATAATCAATTAACAAAAATCATGACAAGACCTGAAGAGATTCGTAGTTGCTATAGTTTCTCTAAACAATTGGTTTCATCAGGACACACACAAAAAAGCATACATAATAGCAAAAACATCAGCCATTTGGAATATTCTCATGCAGAACAAATGCTGGAAAGGTCCCCTAGACTGTGGGAAAAAAAATCAGTATATTATTCTTTGTTGGTTCTTATTCCAATCAAAAGGTGATCAGAAGTGCAAATTGGAAAGGAAATTCACACCAGAGGGCACAAACAGTTGCCCTTTTATTTCTGTTATTGTATAGGAGACAAACATCTTCAAGTAAATTTCAATTGCAATTATATTCATTCAGGAATCAAAGGGTCAAAAAATCTTCTGAAAGGTTATTTATGGAAAACTGTCTGCTTTAAAGCACCGTGTAATCAGTCATGATTTTGGTCAAAAGCAAAGCCAGTAGCACTTATATTGAAATAAACAGGCATTTTATCATTAATCTCAACAGAAGTTAGTTCAGACCCTTTCTTATTTAGTAATATTTCTTAAATCTAATTCTGGTGTTATGTTGTCTTGGGTTCTGTAAAATTTATAAAAATAAAAATTATCTGTAGATACTATCTCTAATTAATTTAGAGATTAAAAAAAATCAGGTGCTACAATGTACCTCAAGTAGCTCACAACTGTAAAATTTAGAAATTATCTTCTTAGATGAGCCAGAAAACAGGACACCTGTATGGGAAAGTTCATTTAAACTTTTTTTTAAATATCCTTTCAAATAATATAGAGTATTATTAAACTTCCTAATTGCCCTCCCACCCCACCCCCCAAACCGTTGAACTATTTGAACTATATATTACACATTTACAATATAGATTACCCCCAAATCTGTACAATTCTGAATTGACAATGTACATTTTCTATAGTATTTGATCTAGCATTGCAAGTTACATTTAATATCGTCTTTTAGAAACAAATATTTATAAAATACAAACTTCGGTAAAGGACACAGCAAAGTCACATTGAGTTACTTTGCATCTGCCTGCTACCAAGATTGCATCTACTGATCTAGAGTATTTTTCTAACTCCTATCATGAACAAACAGTAAATCCTTTTTGTTAGTTCTCCAAATAATTCTCCCTGAAAAAAAAAAAAAAAAAGGCAAATGGTAATTGTAAGTGATGACAAATCCTATTGCATGAACACATTTAAAATTTTAATTCAATTCAAAAATTGGTATATAATTTGTCTTCAGAAATCTATTTGCTCCTATTTTTAATTTTGTATGTCTGTCCACATGGTTACATTTTTTTTGTCCAACAAGATCTTTTTGTCCCAAACTTACAATAAAACTTTTCTCTTTATATAAACCTACATGGCAACCATCCAGTATTTACCTGTGAAGATGATCACAAGGAGCACATCAAATCTCTGAACTATCTCTAAGTGTGAAGTTTCATAATGCTTCCCATGTGATTTTAACATCTGGTAACCAGGTAGTTACTACCAAGCAGGTAGCGAATTAGCAATGTCTCTGCCAAAACCCAGACTAGTTTTGTTACAGAAGTTTCAATGCTATTCAATTTCTATCTGTAGGAATCATTCAAAACTGCTGCATTTCAAAGAACTTAATTATTTTGGTTTGCAGGTTTTGCACATTATCTAGCTGATGTGCTAGTATGTTGAAGCAATAATACAGTATCCAATCTCTTCATAGAACAGTATTCCTTTCTAACAAGGTAAACAATTTTATACCATAAAATAAAAAGACCATGCTTGTATTCAGTATTTAATCACTTTAATACTACTTGCTGCATAATGCGAAGTAAGGAAATAATAAGAGCATATAAAAGACAAGATTAGTTCTAACATTCATCGCATACCCATACATATTCATGCAAGTACTAAATGACAAAAAAGTTAAACAACCTATGGATCCTGGTATCTGGAAAAATAAAATAATAATAAAAAATCCCAAGTAGCAAAGTACTAGCAGTTATGTTTCCGTCACCACTATCGTGCTGTATGACAACCTAAAGGCAATACTTCCCTGGGCATCTTTTCAAGGAGCAGAGTTACCGTCAGCAGAAGGGACTAATGGTCTGCTCCAGTCTCTCACTGGTATTGAGGAGGTATCAGCCACTGTTTTGTGGATGACCTGAGACTTGTGGCTTGAACCAAGGCAACACACAAGCTGTATGCTATTTGGGGAAGAACTGTTTTGCCTCGTTTAGTTCAATTTGCACTGTTCCCATAAGAAGCAGCCTACCGTGCTTTTCTAAATCACCTCCAACCCTAGAAATCTACTGCTGGCTTCAGAACAAAGTGTTGTTACACAGCACGCGGGTAACAGAATACCTGATGAAGTAACACTCAATTTCAAAGTCATATTGAGTATGCTGTGCTCAAAGGCAACTATTTCGTATTAAAGGATATTCCTCTATGGAACTCTTCGGACTTGCTGTCATATTGAGTCATTTTTATTGACCATTTAATTATCTTGGATGTGTTTCGCATACATCTTCTGTATTTCCGAGTATAAAGTTACCTACACGCTAAACCAACAGCCTTACCAGCATATTCCCGAGAGACATAACTCCTTGCCATAATTCACGTGGCACCCTGCCTGGCCTCCAGCTAACTGTTATTTCTCCACCATTTAACCCAAGATCGCCGGGCTCCTTTCTTACTGACTAACTTACAGCCTCCACGAACCATCATCACCTGTCTCTCTTCCCCTTGACAACCAAAAACAAAAGAAGAAAAGGAGAATATTCAAACACAACACTTCAGAATTGCAATAAGCATCCTTTTTTTTCCTGGATGTCGCCAGACGCCCGCCGAGCGCCAGCAGGCTGCGGGCGGCCTGCCGGGGGAGCAGGGGTCCCTCCGGCAGCAGGCGCTGAGGCGCGGGGAGCCCCCGAGGCGAGGGGCTGAGGGGAGGCGCCAGCCCCTGGCGGCGTGGCCTCGGCGCGGCGGCCCCCGGCCCGTCCCTTACCAGGCGCCCCGCGGTCCGGCAGCCGCTCCGCAGCGCGGTCACCGCCGCCATCTTCGCCCGGCAGCCGCGGCCGCCGCCCCGCACACCTCCCACCCGGCAGCCAACCCGCGCGCAGCCCCGCGAGCCGCAGCCAACCGCGCGGCGGGGCCGGGGCCGGGGCCGCGGCCAGGGGCTGAGGCAGCGGCTGCGCTCCCTGAGGGGCCGGCGCGGCGCCACCGCCACCCGGCGCCCCCCCAGCTCCCGGGGGCAGCGCGCAGGGTGCGGCCGCTGGAATAAACTTCCCCGAGGGGCCCCGTGTGTGTGTGTGTGTGTGTGTGTGTCCTGCAACGATCCCTGCACCGGGACGGGACGGGACGGGACGGGACGGGGTGGGGTGGCTGGGGCGGGCAGGAGGGCGCTGTCCCCGCCCGCTACGCGGCCGCCCGGGCGCTGGGACCCGGCGGCGGCTCCTCAGGCAGTGGCGCCGCCCCCGCCCGCCCGCTCTGCGCCTGCTCCAGCGCCGCCGCCCGGCACCGGCACCGGCATCAGCACCGGCACCGGGCTGTGGGTGCTGCTTCGCCGGGCTCTCGCCGTCCTCGGGGCTCGCTGCGGCTCCCCGCGGCTGCCAGCCATGGATGGGGACAGGGTGGAGATAGACGGCGGCATCATGGAGGGGGTGAGCATCCGCGCCGGGCCGTGCTGGGCTCCGCTGGGCTCCGCTCGCCTCGCCTCGCCCGCGGGCGGCGGGTGCGGGTGCGAGTGCGGGAGCCGCAGCGCTGACGGCGCCGTTCCCCCGCAGGGCGGGCAGATCCTGCGCGTGTCCACGGCGCTGAGCTGCCTGCTGGGCCTGCCGCTCCGCGTGCGCCGCATCCGCGCCGGGAGGAGCCAGCCCGGACTCAGGTAACGGCCCCGAAACGCTTCCAAGGGTAAAAACCGCGCACTGGCAGTGTTTGAAGCGGCATTTTTTAACAAAAAGTCTTCCTGTGGCTCGCTGGCGTGGAGGGACCGAGTGCGGAGGGAAGCCAGAAGGCAGCAGGCCCGTCAGAGCAGGCAGAGCCGGGCTGCGCTTTGCTTTCTGCCCTCTCCTTCCTCAGGCAGCTTCCTCCCCCTGGCCCTGGCTTGCTGCCCGGGGAGGTGAGGGCACTCCCTCTGCCTCCACCTGTCAGGCAGCGCAGCCTTAAAAGTGCCTGAAAAATATTTTCAAAGGTAAAGTAGCCTGCGTGGTGTGAAACAAAATGTAAGTAAGATCGTATTACTGAAACATCAATCACTGAGACATTAATCACTGAGTATGTAGCATATATACCATATACACCATACAAAATGTTTTATATTCTATACAAAACAGTTCCTATGCTATCTGTGTGTCCCAGAGCAGTCATTTGTGTTCTGAACGCTACCAGAAACATCAAAGACACATTACTTGCATTTCTCATCTTGATTTAATAATTGGCATTTTTCTGCCTAGAATTGTGCTCCTTCATTAACTCAGTTAATTCGTGACGTGCTTTTTGACTAACATCACCTTTGTAAGACAAACACGGAGGTCAGAATCATCATTTATTTAGGATGAGTTCTAATTATAACTAAGGGAAACTGATCCCTTAGCGTTTTTATATATGTGTAGTTGTGTAGTTTTTCAGAAAAAAAAAAGATTATTGGTCTTTAAACATATCCAGGAGAGATATGAGCTTTGAGGTAGTTAGTTTAGGCTAACTGAAACAGTCTCGCTTATCCATGCTACTGTTTCATAACTGCCTTGAAAGTAGTCTGTAGAATGGTATACAGTGGGTTTTGCTGTATTTCCCAATGGTTTTCATGTAAGGAAATTCATATATTAAGAGGGGCTTGACAGTCAATTAATAATGAGCTTTACTGTGTTAATAACCTGTTAGGCTACTGAATAAAATCATAGCTCAAGTTCTTAATGACATCTTCAAAATGTAACAAAAAAAAAAAAAGATTATTTATTTATTTTTTTTTTCTCCTATGTAAACTACACAAGCAAATGGAAATGCAAGCACTGAACTAACTGTTAGCTCTCTTATGGCTCTGGGAACAGTTAATCGGCTTTGGCTCCAGTTCAGTATTGCTATCATTATACTACTTGGCAGCATTATCCCATTACATTTTTGTCATTTATCACATTAGGACAGTGACTGTTGCATCTTGTCTGTCTGTCCTGACCCTTTCTATTGGAAAATACACCAGGACCCTACAAATTTCAGAATGACCAGAAAGCTACTCCTTTAGCTCCTCTGAACTCAGGAGAAATGTAGGAACCAGATTGAATTTCTGATCCTTGTTTTAAATCTGCAATTGATATTGACTGATGTATTAGTTGACTTTTTTTTTTTTTAATGTAACATGATTATGTAGTCTATTTGAATGGATCTTTAACTTCGTATTATGACTTTAAGACCCCAGCATCTGTCTGGATTGGAGATCGTTCGAGATTTATGTGAAGGGAAGCTGGAGGGTGGAGAAATTGGTTCAACAGAAATAACCTTCACTCCTGGGAAGATCAAAGGTGGAACCCACATAGCAGATACAAAAACAGCAGGGTATGTCTTTGTACATGGATAATGATTGACAAGCAACTGCTCTTAACTGCTTTTGGTAACTTTAAAATTGTCACAAAAGAGGTGAAAAAAGAACGTTAATACGTGGCTAATGAGCCATGATCTGTGCTGTCTGCTACATGTGAGCAAAGCACCTGCTATGTAAGCAGGATATATATTGATAAAGTATATAATTACATATAAATTGTAAGTTGAACATTTGATTAATGTTAAAAAAAAAAAAAGATGCCCATGCGCTTAAAAAATTATTTTCTTCCATTAGCACATGAAATGTTAGGTCAATGCATCAAATTAGATAGGGATTTCACAAAAGCAAAAATACATTGCAAAGGTATTACATATCTGATGTCGAATTAGTACATTGATTAATGTATTTTGTATATTGATGTAATGTAATGTAATATGTATATTGATTATACATATTACATAATATTACATATTACATAATATACATATACATGATGTAATGTAATATGTATATTGATTATACAATGAAATATTGAATTAGTCCTTCTTATATAATAAAGTCAATTTTAAGGTTGTACATATGCACATGGTGGTGTAGTATACTAGTCTTTTGGAACTTGGGGCATATTCACTCAGCTGGTTTTTGTCCCTGTGGTTCTTCCATTTTGTTTTTACTGTGTTGAATCCTTTGTTCTAGGAATCTGTTGCAAAAAAATAGAATGGGTTTAGCTGTGAACTAGAAAGCGTAAGCTAGGGTAGGCATAAGTTAAGGTTTCCTTTAAGAGAAATATGTTTCTGAATTATGATAGTATAAACAACTAAGCTGATGTCTTTTACGTCTTTTACTTAAACATAATGCAGAAAGGCTTGAGTAGGCAACAATGCAGAAGAATTAATAAAATTAAACACAAGTGTGTGTCATCAAAAAAAAAAAGTATAGTTCACAAACGTGAAACACTCATGACATAACTGTTTCACTTACTTTTGTAAAACTATTTTGAGGTTCATTATTATCTATGAAATGTGGAGGGATTCAGTAACAGGGGAATCATGTATCTCAAAGCATATTTTCTATGCCCCTGAATTTTCTTGTGTGAGATGTTGAACAGCTTCTAAGCAATTTAGCAAGTTTTTATGTATTTTATTATTAATTAAATATTAAAATGTTAAAATTGCTGCCTAAACCTTTCCTGCTTTTACCATCTGCTGTCTAACCCTACAGTTTTCACAGTACCATCAGTATACTAAGGAAGCATACATTACTTTTACTTCAAACAGGAATATTAAAGGTACAATTATTGTGAAACAAAAGTGTTTATGTTTAGGCTTGCCGAGAACATGAAGTTTTAATTAGCGTTATTTTTAAGAGTAATAAGTTTACTTTATAGATAATGTTAAAAATCAAATACTTATTCTCTGTAAAGTCATTTGCCCTCTGTGTGTTGTGATTCGACACAGATTGTGACCGCATGACATTTGAGTATCTTGTAATCGCTTTTAGGAGCGTGTGTCTGCTGATGCAGGTAGCAATGCCCTGTGTGCTGTTCGCTGCTTCCCCATCAGAACTTCATTTTAAAGGTGGGAACCAATGCTGAGATGGCTCCTCAGATAGACTACACACTCATGGTAGGGAAAAATTCCTTCAACTCATGCCTATATATGTAATATAACTACCGTGCTTCTGTTGCTCTTTTGCAAGTTTATTTGTAATTATGGAATTAAGCATGGGAATATTACACTATTCGTGTACCATATGTATACAGCAACCAATGATTCGTGGAAGTCCCTGAAATAATGGCTTGTCTGTTTTACTAAAGCGAAATTCACTTAAGATATATTCTTTATTCTGGAAGCTCTGTGAATTGTTATTTGTTCTCTTCCTCTTCTCAAAAAAGAATCCTTTAACACAAAGTGTTATTCAGAATAAAATATGGGGAACCTCAAATAAGCTGTATGGATGAGACTGCCTATCTTTTTATAATGTAATTGAAATTTTTGTTTTGAACTTTTTTTTTTGAAGACTGAATAAAATATTGGAAAATGATTAATTAAAAATAGATTCACTGTGTGTTTTTATATATGCTTGTTTTTAGGTTTTCAAGCCAATAGTTGAAAAGTTCAATTTCACATTTAATTGTGACATAAAAAAGAGGTGAGTTACAGTGTCGCGTGGCAGAAGCAGTCCTTACAGCAATCTGCGAGCATGGAGGCACACACAAGGTGCTCTGAATCAATCTAAGGGCTGAATTTATCTTACATTAACTAAACTGTATTAGCAGCCCCTGTGTGGACCATCACTGTATGACGAATGTTACGTGGTTGTTATGTGGTTCTTCCCTGTCTTTTTTTTTTTTTTTTTTCATTGCTGAGCCTTCAGGTACTGTTTTAATGTTTCCAGTGAACTAACCCCTGAGGGAAGTGCATGCTGAACAGTCAGTCCATTACTGAGCTTTTTCTGAGGTACCAGTTAAGTTAGTGTTGGGCAGTTAATAAGATGTATATTTTGAGGTAATGCTATTGGAGAATATTCTTGTATTACAAAGATTTCTTAGGCACACCAACAAAATTGATATGTATTGTAACAGAGAACATGAGAATGTATCACAGAATATACAAAGAGG